TCTCGTTGAGGCTGGAACCAGCAGCAGCTGCCGCTCTGTTTCCTGTCGCGGTTTCATTCACTTGTTTGTTCCTCTTAATTACTCTCCAGTGTGATTTGTTTATTAACCAGCAGGGCTTTTATAGTTCCACGAGAGGACACTAATAACATAACTGTAGTTCACAGAGCTGGTGGTCTGATAAAGTCTTTTCATCGCTGTGGAAACAGTCGCCCGATGTGACGTCTAGTTTTTAATGTAACTGGCTGATTCACTTCTTAGATAGGACACCGATCAAAGACACATGAAGGGAGCTCAATGTTTGGGACTTTCTGTGTCTTTTGGGGGGAAATAGTGCAAATGTAGACTCTGTTTTACTTCCATCAGTCAGAATACTTGACTGTTGCTCCATTTAAGAAACAAACACCATGAATTGGAATGAGTAGTAACCTGGTTAAAACTAAATCAAATATAGTATAAATATTTAGATACATATAAGAAGTCAAAGTAATTATGCATGATGTGGTGTGTATGTATGTGTGTGTGTGTGTGTGTGTGTGTGGACTTGTGTGTGTGTGTGTGTGTGTGTGTGTGTGAGTGAGTGAGTGAGTGAGTGAGTGAGTGTGTGTGTGTGTGTGGACGTGTGTGAGTGTTTGTGTGTGTGTGGCCTAGCATTAGGCCACTTGTGGGGACCTAAATCTGTTTACATAGTCACGTGTGGGGCATAGTACATAGTCCTACATTCAGGACATGGTTAAACCGTACACCCCAGCGCGTGCACTACGCTCTGCATCAGCCAAACGACTCGTTGCGCCCTCGCTGCGAGGGGGACCCAAGTTCCCATCGGCGAAAACACGTGGGTTTGCTATCCTGGCTCCAAGATGGTGGAATGAGCTCCCCATTGACATCAGGACGGCAGATAGCTTGCACATCTTCCGGCGCAAACTGAAAACTCATCTCTTTCGACTCCACTTCGAGCGTTAGAACGATTAACGAAGCACTTTTATACTAATAAAGGACTGGATTACCTAAAGCCAGTTGAGTAGCACTTGAAATGTTTGGCTCTATGAAACCTGATATACTTATATGATTCTGTTTTCTTCAAGGTTGTGTCTTCCTGGTCGAATGTACTTATTGTAAGTCGCTTTGGACAAAAGCGTCAGCTAAATGCAATGTAATGTAATGTAATGTAACGTGTGGGGACTCGCCTCCCTTATGGGGACAAAATGGAGGTCCCCATGAGGGGAATCATTAATTTTAGGGTGAAGACTTGGTTAGGGTAAGGTTAAGGGTTAACGGTTAGGCTAAGGTTAAGGGTTAGGGTTAGGCATGTGTTGGTTATGGTTAAGGTTAGGATAAGTCTCCAGGAAATGCATGTAAGTCAATGTAATGACCCCTGAAGTGATGTATACATGGTATGTGTGTGTGTGTGAGTGTGGCTGTGTGTGTGTGTGTGTGTGTGTGTGTGTGTGTGTGTGTGTGTGTGTGTGTGTGTGTGTGTGTGTGTGTATTCCTGCATGGTAGGAGTCACGTACAGCTTTCATCTGTGTATCTCTCTGTTTACTGAAGCACTGAAACAAACAAACTGAACTCTGAGAGCGGGTCGCAGGCTAAGTGCTTTCTATAATGTTCAATCTGGAGCATCGTCTTCATCAGATCTTCATCATGTGTGTGGCTTTGTGTTGTGAGGAAGAAGTGTTTCTAAAAATCATATCTTTCATGAGTTTCTTAGAAAACAGATTCCTAAATTTAACCCATTTTCTTTCCAAATCATTTCGAGACTTTCCCTAAATGTATTTTTCGGATATTATTTCTAAATATTTTACTTTGAATCTTTTGACCTTTTTCAGATGTATTTAAATATACACGCAAACAGGGAGTCACTGCTTTTATAACATAATAATATTTATATAATTCTTTCAGATTTACTTGAGTATTTTTCTGATTTTTAAAACTATTTTCTTCTGATTTCTTTACACATAATTCTTATTTACAAATACATTTTAAACTTATTTTTATCTAAACAGACGCTGCAGGAAACCTCACTAAACAACTCTTTTATCATTCAGTTTAATTAGAAGCGTTCTTTAGATGCAGTATGAACCACGGCCTTGTGCACATTTAAGAAGTTGCAATCCTACAGGATAAATTGGAGTAAAGTAGTTTCACGTGGTTTCATAATAAAGCCTCTCCTATCACTCGAGTTCAAACGAGCCAATTAAGTCCAGCTTTTTGTCTACATGAAGTTTCACTGCCTCAATTTCCACAACACGGTTTATGAAGTGACTCTTTGGAGAAGCTGCGTTCAATGACGTGTGTGTGTGAGAGACTGTGTGTGTGTGTGTGAGAGTGTGTGTGTGTGTGTGAGAGAGTGTGTGTGTGTGTGTGAGTGAGAGACTGTGTGAGACTGAGACTGTGTGTGCGCGTGTGTGATTGTGTGTGAGAGAGACTGTGTGAGAGTGCGTGTGTGTGCGTGTGTGTGTGTGTGAGAGTGTGTGCGCGCGTGTGTGATTGTGTGTGAGAGAGACTGTGTGTGTGCGTGTGGGTGTGCGTGTGTGTGTGTGTGTGTGTGTGTGAGTGTGTGTGTGCGTGTGTGTGTGTGTGTGTGTGTGTGTGAGAGAGACTGTGTGTGTGTGTGTGAGAGAGACTGTGTGTGTGTGTGTCAGATAGTAAAGATGGTGTCAGAGTTTATGGGCTGTTCCACTGAGACAGAGTCAAACTGAGAGCTTCAGTCTGACTGCGTCAGTTCAATCTGGAGGACGCAGAGAAACACTTCTTCTTCTTCTTCTTCTTCTCTGGTTGGATTTAATTCATTTTAACAGAAGAAGAAGACGGACAAACAGAAAAGGTGAGATTCAACACAAAGATCTTGCTTTCTCAATTTGAGCTTTGACAAAAATTATTCCACATTTTTGGGGGATTTACAAAGTACAGTAATCGTTAGTTGAACATATGCACCAACTACCGGCCGCTAAGGGCTCACACAGTAAAACACATCTAGCTCATTATGGGCTTTTGCAATAAGCATAAAACTCACTTTACTGATTATTTCACTAATATACCGATACAGTTTGATCCCTTTGCCTGCATACACACTTCTCCTCTGGTTGCATTGAGTTTGGATTTCATTTATTTGAACAGAATAACACTGAGGTGAGAAATCCTTGTTTTAAAAATAATGCTATTTGAATTTTGGAGGAAATTATTCCCCAATTTTCCAACTCTGTAACATTTGTTACATTTTAAGAAAGCCTTTGTGTCACATGACCAGAGACGTAGACCTTTAATAACTTGCTTTGTTTCGTCTTCTAACTATTAGAAGGCAAGGCAAGTTTATTTATACAGCACCTTTGAACACAAGGTGCTTTACAAAAATGAAAGACATTCAGACAAAGGCATTTAAAAACAGTCATTAAAAATAAAAGCTAATAAAAGAAACATTAAAAGAAAAAATACATGAATAAAAAGTTACAGTGCAGTTTAAGATAAGATGGACTTTTATTAATCTCCGTGGGGAAATGTTTCTCTGCATTTGACCCTTCCTAGTGTCAGGAGCAGTGTGCTACCATTTTGAACAGCGCCCGGGGAGCAGTGTGGGGAACGGTGCCTTGCTCAGGGACACCTCGGTAGCACTTGGTCTTGCCGGGACTTGAACTGGTGACCTTCCAGTTGCCAAGCCAAGTCCCTATCGACTTCGCCACCACCGCCCTGAACTAAGTGTGAACTATGAATAGTTCACACAGAAGTTCCACTTTACTGATGCCTTTCTTTAAGGTTTCTCCGAGCTGTGTACGCTTGTATGGCACATACGTCCCGAGCAGCACACAGAGGAGACCAGCCAGGACAAAGTCCCCAGACTCTGATCCCCTGGGTTACTAGCCCCAAATGTTCATCAACCAAAAACGAAACACAACCGCTCAGTTTAAATTAAAAGCAGCGACAAAAAGAAAAGTCTTCAGCCTGGATTTAAAAGTAGTCAGAGTTGCAGCGGACCTGCAGGTTTCTGGGAGTTTGCTCCAGATATTTGGAGCATAATAACTGAACGCTGCTTCTCCATGTTTAGTTCTGACTCTGGGGACAGAAAGACTTTCAACCAAACAAGCAACAGTCAGACTGACATTAAGATGCAGACACACATTGACCTGCGTAACATTTAGCGGAAGACTTGTGTCTGTTATCTTGTGCGTTTGGTTTACTATCTTCCCAATGGATGATAACAACCGACTAAGTGGTTAATTAGGCATGTGGCGCAGTGGGTTGTGCGTTGGGTCGGATCAGGGGGTCACAGGTTCAAACCCCACTGCAGTCAGCACGCCCTGAGACACTTCACCCCAAAGTGCTCCTGTGGGGATTGTCCACAGTACTGAGTATGTTAGTCGCTTTGGAGAAAAGCGTCTAACATGTGACATGTGATGTTAATCCAACACAGATGAATTGTCTTAGGTCGAATCTAACATTTAGAGAAACATCCCTTTCTAATAAAGACCGTGTTTTGTTTTGTGTTTGCTCCACAGATTTCCTCAAAGCCTGAAATCATCAAATGTCAACAAACTTCTGGAGCCTCTTGAACTCAGAGCTGGGCTTTTTCTTTCTGGAACAACAATACAGTAACTCCTCCTGGACGATTAGCGGGTATTTTGGATTGCAACGATATGTGAAATCTGCAATCATATATGTTGTAAACGCTGGATGTCAGAGGTCTGAGCGAAAGGACATTTCTGCTGGTAATGTTTATGCATCGTGAAGCGTTGCCGGCATCTTTCATAAAACAAATATACCCAAAAGCAACACATATATATCGCTCTAGATTTAGTTATCATTAGTTTCTTTGCCGTTACAGTGTAAGAGTGTATTCGAGAGGACGAAAAGCTCTACAAGTTGTGTTAATATTGCGTCAGATTTACACAACTCTAGCAGATATTAACGTTGTTTCCCGTCGTCGTTTGTTCAGAGCTGTTTAATTGTAAAATTGCAGGTTCTAGCGCTTGTTCTAAAGCTAAGAAAAGTTCTACAAGGTCTTGAAATATTGATCTAGACTAACGTTGGGTTATTAAGTTGTCGCTTTCGTTTGTTGAGTTTGTTCTAAAGCGAATAAAGAAGTTCTGGAAATACTTCTACATTTCCACCGGGTTAGGCGGTTGGAAGATCCTCTCTGGAGCTGTAGAAATGGATTCAGAAAAGGGTTCTGGGAACAAATCCAGGTCCCCCTCCACACCCAGCCTTGTTTTCCTGCTGCTTCTCGCCTCGTGTTTGACGTCCATCGCCCCCGTTGGATCCCAAAGAACCGTCTCATCGGACATGTCAAACCTTCATAGCACCGACCCGCCTCAACGAGAACCAAATCTGCTCCAAGAAACCGCCATCAAACCCCCGACCCTGCTGGAGAAAACAAAACCAAAACACAACAAGCTGAAACACAACAAACACGAACGAAAGCAGTCCCTGAACGCCTCGTTGTTGTTGAAAAGACGCCCTCTGTCGCCCCCTAGCTGCCTAAAAGCCACCTCCATAAACACCGCCTTCAAATACATCAACACCGTGTTGTCCTGCGTTATTTTCGCCGTGGGGATCATCGGGAACGCCACCCTGCTGAGGATCATCTACCAAAATAAAAGCATGAGGAACGGCCCCAACGCGCTGATAGCCAGTCTGGCTTTAGGAGACCTGATCTACATCGCCATCGACATACCAATCAACGTGTACAAGGTAAACAGATTCAGGGTTTGTTTGTTTTATCAGTATCTAAGGCAGGGGGGTCAAACTCACTTTCATCACGGGCCACATCAGCATTAAGGCTGCACTCAAAGGGCCGGTTGTAACTTTAAAACTATATAAAAATACGATATATTATCATATTTATTACATTGTTAGAGTATTAATATTGTTGCATCAAGTAAGTTGTACACAAAGGGATTCAGGTTTAGGACCTTTTTATACATGCATTATGTTAAAAGTGAGGTTTAATGCATCAGAAAAGTATAATATAATCAAGTTATAATATATAGTGGAGTACAATATAATTGTACATTATGTACAGTAGTTTAATATACTTGAGGTGTTTTCCACTTAATGAAAATCTTAACTCTACACAGAGGACATTTCAAAATCAAAACACATTATTTGTGTATAAAAGGATGTGGTTTCTATTCCTCATTGTGATCTGTTTCTATGCCTGAATAATGACACTTGGGGAGATGGGAGCAGTGTGCTGAGTTTACAGGAGCAGCAATGCATTATGGGATACACAACAACTTGTCTGTGGTGTGTTTATCAGTCAGCAGGTTGAGTGTTAGACAGATAAGAGCACTAAAATATCCCCTGACTGAGATAACACACACTTAATAATCTGTGTGTGTGTGTGTGTGTGTGTGTGTGTGTGTGTGTGTGTGTGTAGCTGCTGGCGATGACCTGGCCGTTTGCAGACAGTGTGTTCGGGCTGTTTCTCTGCAAGCTGTTTCCCTTCCTGCAGAAAACCTCCGTCGGCATCACCGTGCTCAACCTGTGTGCTCTGAGTGTGGACAGGTAACACACACACACACACACACACACACACACACACACACACACACACACACACACACACACACACACACACACACACACACACACACACACACACACACACACACACACACACACACACACACACACACACACACACACACACACACACACACACACACACACACACACACACACACACACAGGTGGGAAGTAGTGGAGTACATAGTAGTTGTTCAGCATGGAAACATTCATTAGCTAACAATGACATTATTGTTCTATTAATATAAAGGGAGGTCAGGTACTCTTTAAAACAGCTGCTAGTTATGGGTACTTTTTACTGAAGTACACTTCAAAGCCTCTTTACTTTGACTTGAGTAAAGAAGTTTAGTCAGTACTTCTACTTTCACCAGAGTATTTTTAAACACGAGTATCTGTACTTCTACTTGAGTAAAGGATGTGTGTACTTTTGCCCTCTCTGCACACACACACATTAACCTCTGACCCCCTCAGGTACCGGGCGGTAGCTTCCTGGTCCCGGGTGCAGGGGACCGGTGTTCCCATGGTAACGGCTTTGGGCATCGGGGGGATCTGGCTGCTGTCGGCGCTGCTCGCCGTGCCCGAGGCTGTCGGGTTCACCATGGTTACCTTCGAGTACAGGAACGCTACCATCAGAACGTGCATGCTGCAGCCCAACACCCCCTTCATGACCGTGAGTGTGTGTGCATGCGTGCGTGTGTGTGTGTGTGTGTGTGTGTGTGTGTGTGCGTGCGTGTGTGTGTGTGTGTGTTACTGCAGAACCTGACCCTAACCTGAGAAGTGTCAGAAACATACACAGAAAATATTTGTAAACATTTTTTTAGAAATAATGTGAGAAAAGTCAAAATTAGTAGGAAAACATTTGAAAAATAGGTAAAATAAGCAAATTGTCAAATAACAGTCAAATGTTGAAACATTTTGTGAATATTTACGTATGAAAAAAGTCATAAAAAAATATGTTAAATATCTAAAATATGGTCAGAATTTTAGTTTAATATTCTCCTCAAAAAATAATCCCAATGTTAGTTTTTAACCATTAAAATGTGAAAAGGTAGGAATAGATGAAACTCACACAGTAGTTTTCTAAACAACAGATAAAGTTAAATATAGAGATATCATTTTGTTAGTTAAAAAAATAGCAAACATTCCTTTGAACGTGTGAGGAACAAATCTAACAAGTTGGTTTTGAACAACAAATTCTGCCTAAGATGTTGAAATAAATAATAGAGGCTAATTTGACAGGTTATGGGTAAAGCCTGATCTCGGATCGTCTGTATGACGGATGTTCCCTCTCTTGTGGTTCCAGGCTCTCTGAGTTGTTGTGTTTCAGGGCGAGGTCTCTTTGATAGTTTAAAACATCCTTTCCTGTTTACATCTGCAGGTCACATGTGCGCTCAACACAGTCAGAGCGGCACTCAGAACTGACCCGGGGTCAGCTGACCTGCCATCAGCGCTCAGACGTTATATTAACTGCAGTCAGTGCACTGAGCTTCATCTAGAACATATTCATTGAAATAATAATTAATGAAAATAACAGCCTTAATTAATCAAAGGGGCGCTTTTCTGCTTTTTGGGGGTTTCCCTTTACTGTAGTGTGTTCTTTTAGTGCATGTAAATGGTGTTCCCTCTCCCACAATGCCCCCTGAAACGCCTCAATTGGAGTCCTTTGTTTACTTCCAGAACATAGTGACATCACCATGTAGCGCTCCAACACATTGTACGTGATAGGCTAAGGGGGCGGGATATCTCTAAGTTGGTTGACCAATCACATCAGAGCCGGCGAGCTAACCAATCAGAGCAGACTGGGCTCAGCTTCTGTGTGTTTCTGTGTGTTGCAGTTCTATAGAGACGCGAAGGACTGGTGGCTGTTTGGGTTTTACTTCTGCGTTCCTCTGACCTGCTCGGCTGTGTTCTACGGACTCATGACCTGCGAGATGCTGCGGCACCAGAAGGGAAGCCTGAGGATCGCCCTGAGTGAACACCTCAAACAGGTACACACACACACACACACACACACACACACACACACACACACACACACACACACACACACACACACACACACACACACACACACACACACACACACACACACACACACACACACCACACACACACACACACACACACACACACACACACACACACACACACACACACACACACACACACACACACACACTCTCTCTGATCATCCTCTGCTCTCCTCCCGCAGCGTAGAGAAGTGGCTAAAGCAGTTTTCTGTCTGGTTCTGATCTTCGCTCTCTGCTGGTTCCCTCTCCATCTGAGCCGCCTCCTGAAGAGAACCGCCTACAGATCCCACGATGCACACCGCTGTGAGCTGCTAAAGTAAGCAGGGGGACACACACATTTAAAATACACTGTATCAAGGATATGCTTTCGATGAAGTGTTGATGTATGTGACTAAAGTCTCCCCCCAAAATAAATTAATGAAAAAATTCAAATGTACTTTAATATATTTTCTTTTTTTTAATGTCAGAAAATCTATGAAACATATAAGTAAAATATGTTTAAAAAACTGGGGGAAATGACTGAATAAAGTCTTGAATTAATGTGTTTAAAATGTTGGAGAAATGTCAGGAAAATAAACAAAATATGTTAGTAAAATCTGTAGAAAGTAAGAGACAAAAATCAGTGGAAAAAGATGAAATAAGTTTGAAAAAAGCTTGTAAATTGTCTGAAATTATTAGGAAGAAATACAAAAAATCTGAGTTTAAAGGAGGTTAAATAAGCATAATCTGAAACGGCAGTAAAATGGAGAATAATATCCTAAATTATTAAGTAAAGACAAATACGATACCCCCCTAAAAACCTGAAAATGTCCCATAAGTTTGTCGATATTTTCAGAAGATATGTGGAAAATGTCCCCCAAAAAGACCTTAAAAATATATTTAAAATACGTCAATAAAAGTCATAAAAAACATGTTTTAAAATACCTGCATTATTTTTTTTTTAATTTGAAAATTATATACACATTATTTTTCTTGCAGCTTCCTGTTGGTGCTCGACTACTTCAGCATCAACATGGCGACCATCAACTCCTGCATCAATCCCATCATCCTCTACGTCGTCTCCAAGAAGTTCAAAAACTGCTTCAAGGTGAATATGAGCGTCAGTCCGGGGTCAAAGGTCGTGAGAGTCTCAAAGTTTAGGGTTTAAAATCTCCAGAGAAAAACATGGACGTCTAAAGGTCACTTTATAAAGACAGAGAAAATAACACTGAGGTTTATTTAAGTTAATCCTAAAGTCAACATGTTGTTGTTATATTTCCCATTTGCATTGTTTAAACACCAAGAAACTCACCTGAACATCAGCTGGAGAGGACTCTTTAAAGTAGAGACTCTACATACTGATATACACCTGAACATCAGCTGGAGAGGACTCTTTAAAGTAGAGACACTACATACTGATATACACCTGAACATCAGCTGGAGAGGACTCTTTAAAGTAGAGACACTACATACTGATATACACCTGGACATCAGCAGGAGAGGACTCTTTAAAGTAGAGACTCTACATACTGATATACACCTGGACATCAGCAGGAGAGGACTCTTTAAAGTAGAGACACTACATACTGATATACACCTGAACATCAGTAGGAGAGGACTCTTTAAAGTAGAGACACTACACTGATATACACCTGAACATCAGCAGGAGAGGACTCTTTAAAGTAGAGACACTACATACTGATATACACCTGAACATAAGCAGGAGGGGACTCTTTAAAGTAGAGACACTACATACTGATATACACCTGAACATCAGCAGGAGAGGACTCTTTAAAGTAGAGACACTACATACTGATATACACCTGAACATCAGCAGGAGAGGACTCTTTAAAGTAGAGACACTACATACTGATATACACCTGAACATCAGCAGGAGAGGACTCTTTAAAGTAGAGATACTACATACTGATATACACCTGAACATCAGCAGGAGAGGACTCTTTAAAGTAGAGACACTACATACTGATATACACCTGAACATCAGCAGGAGAGGACTCTTTAAAGTAGAGACACTACATACTGATATACACCTGGACATCAGCAGGAGAGGACTCTTTAAAGTAGAGACACTACATACTGATATACACCTGAACATCAGCAGGAGAGGACTCTTTAAAGTAGAGACACTACATACTGATATACACCTGAACATCAGCAGGAGAGGACTCTTTAAAGTAGAGACACTACATACTGATATACACCTGAACATCAGCAGGAGAGGACTCTTTAAAGTAGAGACACTACATACTGATATACACCTGAACATCAGCAGGAGAGGACTCTTTAAAGTAGAGACACTACATACTGATATACACCTGGACATCAGCAGGAGAGGACTCTTTAAAGTAGAGACTCTACATACTGATATACACCTGGACATCAGCAGGAGAGGACTCTTTAAAGTAGAGACACTACATACTGATATACACCTGGACATCAGCAGGAGAGGACTCTTTAAAGTAGAGACACTACATACTGATATACACCTGGACATCAGCAGGAGAGGACTCTTTAAAGTAGAGACACTACATACTGATATACACCTGAACATCAGCAGGAGAGGACTCTTTAAAGTAGAGACACTACATACTGATATACACCTGAACATCAGCAGGAGAGGACTCTTTAAAGTAGAGACACTACATACTGATATACACCTGAACATCAGCAGGAGAGGACTCTTTAAAGTAGAGACACTACATACTGATATACACCTGGACATCAGCAGGAGAGGACTCTTTAAAGTAGAGACTCTACATACTGATATACACCTGGACATCAGCAGGAGAGGACTCTTTAAAGTAGAGACACTACATACTGATATACACCTGGACATCAGCAGGAGAGGACTCTTTAAAGTAGAGACACTACATACTGATATACACCTGAACATCAGCAGGAGAGGACTCTTTAAAGTAGAGACACTACACACTGATATACACCTGAACATCAGCAGGAGAGGACTCTTTAAAGTAGAGACACTACATACTGATATAGACCTGAACATCAGCAGGAGAGGACTCTTTAAAGTAGAGACACTACATACTGATATACACCTGAACATCAGCAGGAGAGGACTCTTTAAAGTAGAGACACCACATACTGATATACACCTGAACATCAGCAGGAGAGGACTCTTTAAAGTAGAGATACTACATACTGATATACACCTGAACATCAGCAGGAGAGGACTCTTTAAAGTAGACACTACATACTGATATACACCTGAACATCAGCAGGAGAGGACTCTTTAAAGTAGAGACACTACATACTGATATACACCTGAACATCAGCAGGAGAGAGCTCTTTAAAGTAGAGACACTACATACTGATATACACCTGAACATCAGCAGGAGAGGACTCTTTAAAGTAGAGATACTACATACTGATATACACCTGAACATCAGCAGGAGAGGACTCTTTAAAGTAGAGACACTACATACTGATATACACCTGAACATCAGCAGGAGAGGACTCTTTAAAGTAGAGATACTACATACTGATATACACCTGAACATCAGCAGGAGAGGACTCTTTAAAGTAGAGACACTACATACTGATATACACCTGAACATCAGCAGGAGAGGACTCTTTAAAGTAGAGACACTACATACTGATATACACCTGAAACATCAGCAGGAGAGGACTCTTTAAAGTAGAGACACTACATACTGATATACACCTGAACATCAGCAGGAGAGGACTCTTTAAAGTAGAGACACTACATACTGATATACACCTGAACATCAGCAGGAGAGGACTCTTTTAAAGTAGAGACACTACATACTGATATACACCTGAACATCAGCAGGAGAGGACTCTTTAAAGTAGAGACACTACATACTGATATACACCTGAACATCAGCAGGAGAGGACTCTTTAAAGTAGAGACACTACATACTGATATACACCTGAACATCAGCAGGAGAGGACTCTTTAAAGTAGAGACACTACATACTGATATACAGCTGACATCAGCAGGAGAGGACTCTTTAAAGTAGAGACACTACATTACTGATATACACCTGAACATCAGCAGGGAGGACTCTTTAAAGTAGAGGACACTACATACTGATATACACCTGAACATCAGCAGGAGAGGACTCTTTAAAGTAGAGACACTACATACTGATATACAGCTGAACATCAGCAGGAGAGGACTCTTTAAAGTAGAGGACACTACATACTGATATACACCTGAACATCAGCAGGAGAGGACTCTTTAAAGTAGAGACACTACATACTGAGATACACCTGAACATCAGCAGGAGAGGACTCTTTAAAGTAGAGACACTACATACTGATATACACCTGAACATCAGCAGGAGAGGACTCTTAGTAGAGACACTAAATACTGATATAGGACAACTGAACAGCAGCAGGGAGGACTCTTAAGTAGACATACTTAGATTATACACCTGAACATCAGCAGGAGAGGACTCTTTAAAGTAGAGACACTACATACTGATATACACCTGAACATCAGCAGGAGAGGACTCTTTACTAAAGTAGAGACACGACATACTGATATACACCCTGAACATCAGCAGGGAGAGGACTCTTTAAGTCGATGACAGCTACATACTTTATCAGTAACTGAAACATCAGCATAGGAGGACCTCTTTAAGTAGAGACACTACATACTGATATACACCGGAACATCAGCAGGAGAGGGACTCTTTAAAGTAGAGACCCTACATACTGATATACACCTGGACATCAGCAGGAGAGGACTCTTTAAAGTAGAGACGCTACATACTGGAATATACATCCTGAACATCACATGGAGAGGACTCTTTAAATAGAGATACTACATACTGATATACACCCTGAACCATAAGCAGGATAGGAACTTCCTTAAGTCGAGACAGCTACATACTGATATACACCTGAACATCAGCAAGGAGAGGACTCTTTAAAGTAGAGACGCTACATACTGATATACATCAGCAGAATATGTCCTCTTAAATAAATCTGTCTTTGTGTCTGTCTCTCTCTCCTTCTGTGTGTCTGTCTGTATGTGTGTGTGTGTGGTGTGTGTGTGTGTGTGTGTGTGTGTGTGTGTGTGTGTCTGTCTGTCTCTGTGTGTCTGTCTGTCTGTCTGTGTGTGTCTGTCTGTCTGTCTGTCTGTCTGTCTGTCTGTCTGTCTGTCTGTCTGTCTGTCTGTCTGTCTGTCTGTCTGTCTGTCTGTCTGTCTGTCTGTCTGTCTGTCTGTCTGTGTGTGTGTGTGTGTGTGTGTGTGTGTGTGTGTGTGTGTGTGTGTGTCTGTCTGTCTCTGTGTGTGTGTCTGTCTGTCTGTCTGTCTGTCTGTCTGTCTGTCTGTCTGTCTCTCTCTCCTTCTGTGTGTCTGTCTGTATGTGTGTGTGTGTGTGTGTGTGTGTGTGTGTGTGTGTGTCTGTCTGTCTCTGTGTGTCTGTCTGTCTGTCTGTGTGTGTGTGTGTGTGTGTGTGTGTGTGTGTGTGTGTGTGTGTCTGTCTGTAGTCCTGTCTGTGTTGCTGGTGTTATTCTGGCTCTCTCTCCAACAGCATGCTGCCTCTGAACCATGGAACCAGTCTGCAGTACAAACACACCGACCACTGAGAGCCCGTTTCTCCCACTGCACCTGAACTCAGCACCAACTACATTGTGTATAAAGGATAACCACTATATTGATCCTCTAATGTTACGTTTATACCTTTTTGCTGTGTATTTATTGAGGTTTTTATATATTGTATAGACTTGTGGGGATTTAATATATGGCAAAACATATGTGGACTTAATACATGTTGTGTTTTTGGTTCAGTTCGTCTGTTTTTTTTTAGCAGAAATACAGAAAAACTAGTGCCTTAATTGTAATGAAACTTGGAAGAAAGTTAAAGCAAAGGTCAAGTTTAAACATATTACAATTTGGAGCCAATCAAGGTCACAGAATATTAAGATTTTTTGGAAATAGTGTACGTTTTATGCCAGTTATTTCTGTGTATTTTCCACTTTATTAAATGTTTTAAATAGAGGAAAATACAGGCAGACATGCAGGGCATTCATACGCAACACATACATCAAATACATTAAATTATATTAATAAAATGTTAAAATATGCATCATATTGGCTTCGTAGTGTATTTGTTATTATTTTTGTTTTATATGTAATCATTGCAGCACTGCGCCCCCTGCAGGCTGGACTCCTCATTACATCCCATAATATGAAACTGCTGCTGATTTGTTTGTTCTCAGCTTTATATGTTATTATGCAGAATTCAGGTCAGTATATATACTGCTGTCTAAATATATGTTTATTTTATGTGCAGGGACTATTAGTTTTGTGTCTATTATATGAAATTATATATTTGTATTTATCAATAAAGCTATATTCTCAAAGCCTTTGAAAACATGTGTGGTATATGAATGTAGTTTTATATTTTATATATAAGGAGATGATCAGATTAACTATTTTGATAATTTATTTATACAAATAAATATTCTAAATAATGACTTATAACAGAATTTTTTCAAAAGTTGTATAACTTCTTTCACTCAAGTAAAAATATATTAAAACATATATCAATAATTTTACAATATTTACTTATTTTCTATAATAATGATGATGGAAAACAGGCCAACCGTCAGTTCATAGATCAGAATCTGTAAATATTAAAATATAAATCATAATTGTTAAAAAAGAAAATCAAACTTAAAATAAAATGTCTGTACATTTAATTAATATTTGAATTTACTATGACTATCATGTAGGACAGTAACACAAGAATACAGTTTAAATGGGGAGTGATTTGTAAAATATGCATAAAGAAAAAGTAAGTCTGTTTACAGTTCTGTTTCTGTTGTTGAGAGATGTATCCATAGATCTCCTAATGTTGCTCTCAAAGTGCACCAGATTGCATTTGACTTCAATATGGAGCATGCCCCCACACCCTCAGAGGAGGTGAGGTCTACCTGTCAAATTGTCCCACCCATATGGAGGATGCTTCCTACGCCCATGTGTCAGATAGTAATATAAGAGTAATACAATAAAATCAGGTATGAAATACTATGACAGTAAAACAAGAATACAGTTTGAAAGGAGAGTGATTTTTAAAATATCCATAAAGAAAAAGAGAATCTGTTTACAGTTCTGTTTCATGTGGTGTTGAGAGATGTATCCATAGATCTCTATGCAGATCAGGATCCCTCCAGGACCGCCTCGCTGCACATTATCCCTTACTTAACCCATACATCAAATATATTAAAACAATTAAGACGTTTTTTTAAATATGCATGATATTGGCCTCGTAGTGTATTTGTTATTATTTAGTTTTATATGTAAACATTGCAGCTCTTCCTTGTAAACAGCTCTGCGCCCCCTGCAGGCTGGACTCACCATTACATCCCATAATATGAAACTGCTCCTCATTTGTTTGTTCTCAGCTTTATTTGTTATTATGCAGAATTCAGAGGCCTGTACGACGAAGCCGGTTCAACATAAGAGTTACCTGGTTTACCTGATCCAAAACAAAGCGCTAATCCAGTGGGGCTCCTGAAAGGGGGCAAGGGACACTATGCTCCCAAATATTAAGCCTTGACCCCCATCTTAAAATGTATATGATCAAAAAATTATCTGCATTGTCGGAGGCCTTTTTGTGTCAGGTTTCAATTCAGTAAACCTGCTCATTGGTTACCTGAATTACATTGGGGGAGAGTATAGGCCTATAGGAATAGTATTAAGTGAGGTGATTTACTTCATTTTAATCTACTTTATTCTCAAGTAAAAGTCCTGCATTCAAAATGTTCCTCAAGTAAAAGAAGTACTCAGATCTTGTACTTTAGTAAAAGTAGAAGTACTCAGCTGTTTTTACGGACATTTGAAAGGAAAATGATTCAGAGGAATATCATGGGATCAAAACGTCTGAAACACATTTCCCTCAACTGACAGTGAACAGTTAAATATGACAATTTCTGCTAAAAAGTGACTAATTGTGTAAAACAAAATATCTATTTATTTACTAAATTCACTCTAAGTTCCTGTTTATTTCTGATGGGACGACTTTAGCATATTAACAAAGTGTGGAACACAGAGTCACAAACTCAATTGTTTCTGCAAGGATTTCTTTATTGTTGGAAATACAGGTCAGTACAAATTCTGTATTTAACATTTCCAGTAACCAGTGGCTGCTAAGGTGAGTCAGTGTGTGAGCAGGTAATGTTACATTACATTTAGCTGACGCTTTTACCCAATATCACTTTTACCCAATCTGCACAAAAGGGGCAATCAACCACGAGGATAATAAACCTGGAAAAGCAACAATCTTTTTATTTTGAATTTGTCGAGGTGCAGTCTGACCGAATGCGCTCTCTTCTCATTGGAAGCAATTGAAAGAAGGAGGCTGCGATCAGAAAAAGCCTTATAATGCTGAACAAGTCATTGCTTCTTCTTATAACACAGATTGGTTGAATACTCGGTTCTGATTGGTCAATTTGGACTGATCAATGGACTATGTGCAGACATATCAATCCGCAGAAAGTAGTCCGGTCAATTTAACTTAAGCTGTTACCAAAAGAACGTTTTCGTGTGGGGTGCTCATACAATTTGGATTCATAATTAAATGTTTAAAAAAAATGTGAACAGATTTGGACAGCCGGAAAAACCACCATCAGTTCTGCCTTCATATTAAAGGTCTCCTATTATGCTATTTTTAGGCATATATTATGGGTCTCAGATATATAAAAATGTATAAAAATTCCTCAGAAAATCCCTCATATCTCTCTGTTTCAGTCCTGTTAGAGAAATGCAGATTCGGGGTCCTTAGCTGCTGGCCCCGCCCCCTGTGGAGCACGGCAAGGCACACTGTGAGCTCCAAAGAGAAGAGAGAGATTTCTACTGGCAGCTAAATGCTGCCGTGATTAAACGCCATATTATGTTCCAAACCACGGGATTAATCAAGGATTATTTCTGAAATAATATGGAGCTCAAACTCTTTCTCTCTCAGGTTTACCACAAGGTGAGTTCCTTTTTATTTCCTGCTTCTTCACACATGCTCTCTCCAGTGCAGGTTAGCCCTGAGTGTTAGCGATGCTAATGTAAACAAAGACCAAATTACGTCCAAAACACGTCTCATTGTTTCTGATAGGGCCGTGGGTGTAAAGCCCGCCCACATTTTAGTAATGTCGTCATGACGCGGCAGATCTGGATCAGCTCCGTTGTTCCCCCGTTTTTAGATAATTTGGTACGGAGGAAAAGAGAGAGGGTTTTATTTTCTGACACTTTGGGACAGTTTATTTTGCATGATAGGAGACCTTTAAGTTAAGTTTCTTTCTGACAACCGTACAGGGTCAAATATTGAAGACCGTGCAGGTGCATAATGTTGACGCCCGTGAGGGAGCCCATGAAACTGGCGTACATGTGCGTGAGACCACAAGAAGGTGCCAAACTGTAGGGTAGAACAACTAGCCAACTAACACTTCGACCTGCAGACTGAATGGTCTGCAGGGTCTGCTATGGATTGACCCATAGAGTGATTAGTGGAAAATCATCAACCGCGAGTAATTCGTGGAAGATCTTCAACCTCGTGAGGCCGGAAGCTGCCAACTTGTCTTTAAATAAATAATTGAAGACCGTACAGGTGCATAATGTTGACTACCGTACAAGTGCGTGAGACCACCAGTAGGCGCCAAACTGTAGGGTAGAACAACTAGCCAACTAACACTTCGACCTGCAGACTGAATGGTCTGCAGGGTCTGTTATGGATTGACCCATAGAGTGATTAGTGGAAAATCATCAACCTCGAGTGATTAGTGGAAGACCATAAACCTTGTGAGGCCGGAAGCTGCCAACTTGTCTTTAAGCAGGGCAGCCAGGAGCTGGACTGCTCTGGGCGACGCTGTACTTGATAGGCTGAGAAGAGAAGTGTATCAATAATATTAATAAAATGATGAACAGCAACAACAACACAGTAGACAGTGTCAGGATTCACACAAGAAGCAACAAAACATTTTGTTTCCTCCTGACTTACATTTTGACCCCTATTTTTCAGGTAACATGCTGCAACTCCGACAGCAACCAGGATCAGGGAGATGCAGGCAACCAGAAACCAGATCCACAATCCATGGAAATGACTTCCTGTTGTGAAAAAAAGACAAACATACAGTAACTGCAACACAACAGACATCTTGAATAAACTCAAAATGCTGAAACTCTTCACTTTTTTCTCTCCTTCTTACCTTTTTCTAGATCTGAAGTTGTGAGATTTGGAAACTGCTTCTTCGTCAAAGTGTCATCAGAGATTGGTTCTGAAGAAAACAAAAAGATGCGTATTTAGAATCTGAGAAAAAAAAGTGCGTATTTAGAGAGTCTGAGAAAAAAAGAAAGTGAGTATTTAGAGAGTCAACTGCTGGTCTCTATAAAAAAAAAGTGCGTATTTAGAGTCTGAAATAAACAAAAAAGTGCGTATTTAGTGGGAAAAGAAAAGGTGCGTATTTAGAGAGTCTGAAAAGAAAAGTGCGTATTTAGAGAGTCTGAAAAGAAAAGTGCGTATTTAGAGAGTCTGAAAAGAAAAGGTGCGTATTTAGAGAGTCTGAAAAGAAAAGTGCGTATTTAGAGAGTCTGAACAGAAAAGTGCGTATTTAGAGAGTCTGAAAAGAAAAGTGCGTATTTAGAGAGTCTGAACAGAAAAGTGCGTATTTAGAGAGTCTGAAATAAAAGTGCGTATTTAGAGAGTCTGAAAATAAAAGTGCATATTTAGAGAGTCTGAAAAGAAAAGTGCGTATTTAGAGTCTGAAAAGAAAAGTGCGTATTTAGAGTCCGGAAAAAAGAAAAGAAAGCATATTTAGAGTCTGAGAAAAAGAAAAGAAAGCGTATTTAGAGTCTGAGAAAAACTAAAAAGGTGCATATTTAGAGAGTCTGAAAAGAAAAGTGCGTATTTAGAGAGTCTGAAAATAAAAGTGCGTATTTAGAGAGTCTGAAAATAAAAGTGCGTATTTAGAGAGTCTGAAAATAAAAGTGCGTATTTAGAGAGTCTGAAAATAAAAGTGCGTATTTAGAGAGTCTGAAAATAAAAGTGCGTATTTAGAGTCTGAAAAGAAAAGTGCGTATTTAGAGTCTGAAAATAAAAGTGCGTATTTAGAGTCTGAAAAGAAAAGTGCGTATTTAGAGTCTGAAAAAAATAAAAGAAAGCGTATTTAGAGTCTGAGAAAAACTAAAAAGGTGCATATTTAGAGAGTCTGAAAGAAAACAATAAAAATGGGGACAGATAACCCACAAGTACCACAACTATTATACGACAACAACAGTAATATATTGAATCAATTGAAATAAAAAAACATACCAAAGACTTCCAGCTTTATGGTGGTATCGAACGCCAGCTGTGGGATGATACATCTGTATCTCCCGTCATCAGAGAGCTTCAGGTTTCTGATCTGGAGGGAAACGTTCCCGAGTTTCAGGCCGTCTGCGAACATCTCCGTCCTCCCAGCGTACGACGGCATCGTCTGGGCCTCCTGATGCTGCTTTTCAGGGTACAGGTGAACGTACCTGTAGGAGCCAAAATGCTGAGTTAGCCCCTGTTTATATGTTTATTTATTATTTATAAAACCACACACACATTGGTAATTTATCGTTACCAATAGTTGTGGGTGTGGTTTATGGTATTAAGGCACCTGGTGTATGTGGAGGTTAGTAGTGTGACAATTAGCTCTGAGATCTTTGGTTGACTGGATGATTGTTTGTTTATTGTTTGTTTATTTAAATATCCTGAAACTTTAAAGCTCTCCTATCATGCAGAATGCACTTTATGATGTCTTTTATACATACATATGTGTCCCGGTGTGTAAGGAGACTCACAAAGTGTCAGAAAACAAAACCCTCTCTCTTTTCCTTCTTTTCTTTTACATGTTTGTAGTAGGGCCGGGACTTTAACGCGTTAATTAAGATTAATTAATTACACAAAAATTAACGCATTTTAATCGCACTTATTTTTGCACCGCGGAACGTTTCTCACTGGATGAGTTTCAGGCGTACCGATTATACTGGAGCACCAACTAACGTTCATGACTTCAGACAACAACAAACCACAGTGAACAACAGTGGGAAATGTTGTTTTAAAAAACGGACGGATGGAAGCGTCGATAAGAGCACGGTTGTGTGCAAATTATGCAAAAAGGAATTCGCATATCACCGCAGCACATCAAGCCTCAAGTATCACCTCAATACAAAACATATAGCAGCTAGCGTGGACGTTAGCCTCTTTTATCGCGTTCGCACCAAAAAGAGCCGGTACTAAAATTAGTTCATGAGAACCTTTTTACCCCCACGAAAGTCCCTGCTAGAGAGCAGAGAGCTGCTAGAGAGCAGGGACTTTCGTACGGCTCTCTTGTGAGAAAAGAGCTATATTTCTGATTGGCTGGGCGGATTGCAAACCACGCCCCGTAAAACTCCCAAAAAGTTTTGTGAAGCCGCCATTTTATTATCCTCGCATTAGCATTATTAGCATTAGCCCAGCGCAGAAACGCAGAGAGACTAACTTATGGCAACACAAAATAAAACATGGGAGCGGTGGAGATGAGGAGGTGTCGGCGTTCTGGCGATTTACTCGGAAGGCTTCAGTAGAAGCTGCTGGGACTCCCAGCAGCTTCTACTGAAGCCTTCCCCAACTCCGGGGACTTCCGGCCGGGGACTTTGGGCGGCAGTATACGCCGTGAAGTGGTTTGCGGCCTGCCAGTAAACCCAAAGCAGAAGAAGAAGAAGTGACGTCAGCGGCTTCATTTGCCTAATCCTCCCCCAGGTTCAAAGAGTTCTCATGAACTAAATTCTCATGAACCTTTGTGGGAAAAGTACTGCGGTGGGAATGCGCCTAATGGTATACTAAAATCCATGTGAAAAAAATTGCTTCTCACTGTTCTCAGATCAAATATTTATATGTGATTAAAAATGCGATTAATTTCGATTAATTAATTACAAAGCCTCTAATTAATTAGATTAATTTTTTTAATCGAGTCCCGGCCCTAGTTTGTATTAAAAAAATCCTGACAGCTTCCTCCACCAGGCGGTCAGGATGCTGAACTCTCTCTCCTCCCTCCCTCTCTGACATCTCTCCCCCTGAACTCTCCACCCTGCCTCCCACCTTTCCCCCCTGCCCCAAATGGTCCTGGACACACACACACACGTACACACACCACACACACACACACACACACACCACACACACACACACACACACACCACACACACACACACACACACACACACACACACACACACACACACACACACACACACACACACACACACACACACCACACACACACACACACACACACCACACACACACACACACACCACACACACACACACACACACACACACACACACCACACACACACACACACAACCTTCCCTCCTCCAGCACCAGTCACCTTTCTGCCCTGCTACTGCACTGAAACTGTACTTTGAACATTTTAAACATATTATTAACATTTTAAACTGTATACCCCGGTTATCTAGGCCCGTTTTATGTATATATGTCACACTGTGGGACTGTGGGAAACGGTATCTCGAGATTTCTGGATGTATAACACATGTAGTAATTTTGAAAATAAAGCTGACTTTGAGTAAGTCAGCTTACTCTGACTTTAGTAACAGGGCTGAAATAGAGGGGGATGAGGCTAGAATGGGTGATCTGTTTGGTATTTTGAGCAAAACACTTTGTAGACATGTTTTGTATTTATCTGAGACCTATAATATATGCTTACAAATAGTATAATAGGAGACCTTTAACTTTAGTACGGACTTTTAGTATTTATACACGTCATGAGGAAGCGTAATTGAATGGTAATCTAGCCGCCACAGTACCAGTTTGGGTCCACAAGGATTTCGGGCCTCCACCACATCACCGTCAAATCCTCCATATTGATCTGAGGCTGCACAACACACGGCAGGATGACATCACCACCCAGAGGAGCCCTGATTGGCTCAGAGGAACCTGAGTTTTCAGGCTGAGGTCGACCTGTGAAAATATAGGGAGAAATATAAAGGTCCCTTGACATGCTTTTCTGGTTGTTACCCGTCCCCTTGTGTGTTATGAAGGTTTTTCTGCATGTAAACAGTCTGCAGAGTCAAAACCCTCAAAGTACACCCTGTAGCGAGTAAAACTCTAACACAGAGAAGACCTGTCTGTGCTGTCCCAGAACGCCTCGTTGGACATTTCTCTTTTCCATTGTTTGCTTCCTGGGTTCTGTGACGTGTGAACACCCAGATCAACAACAAATGACCAAATGCAGGGCCGTCCCTGGCCAACATGAGGCCCCATGCAAAGATATATGATGAAGCCCTCTGTTTCGAAATATATAATTTCTTTTTTTCTGAAAATTATATCTGATTAAAGTCAGAATTCAATTTTCTTTTTCGGTCACATCCCCCCAAAAATGTCTTACATGGCCCCAATCCTCGTCAGTATGAAACATCATAAAGAAAGAAATATAAAGGAAATTGTGAAAATAAAACAAAAAGTCATATTTCCAATATAATGTTTATCAAATACAAATGTGGTTGCCTTTTCATTTACATATAAATAACTTCATACTTATACCGACATATATATGTAGATACTATAAAGTAATTATAATGAAGTGTTTCCTGTTGAGGAATGTGGGACAGGCTGATCGGTGTGTGTGCATATTTTGGTGTGTGATGTGTGCACAGACAAGGAGTGACAGGGAGATTCCTCCAGGTGAGGCCTACAAGGTTTCTGCTAACCTTTCTAACAAAGACGATGTTATAAGGACATCAAATGAAAAAGTGGCCGATATGACATCCATTTTTTAAGAAGTAATGAAAAATCTGCACAATAATAATTCCTTTTATATTCTCTGAAAGTGTGATCTGATTATTCCCAGTCCCGCTAAACTATGAGGAAGTAGGAATCAGGTGTACATTTCTGTCGACTAAACTACATATAAAGTAATTTGTCAAACCTATTTCCACTACAATAAACGTAGCCTACTAAAGCCGTTAATAGCATTTTCCCAATGAGAAAAAGATGAAATAACTTCAGAGTTTCACAAACATTGGTTACCTTGAATCTGCTCCGTTGCGACGACCACCGGGAGAACAAGAGCCCAGATCAGGAGAGGAAGAATCCAGCTAGACACGAAGAAGACCATAAGGAGCGAAAGATTTGCAAATATTGTTGTAAAGAAACAGCGCGACTGAGCACCAACACGTAAATCAGAAGCAACTGGCGCATGCGCAGTCGTAGGGCAACACCTGTACCTGGAGTCCCGTGAACTTTTTAACATTTTAAAAACGGGAGTGCATCAAACATAATCATCATGAACATTGTGAATTTGTTAAGAAAACAGAAATACCTGACACCGTCCATCCTGCAGTTTGTCATCACCAGTAAGAGATGTAACTTCGCTCTTTAAAGTGTTTATTTTGAAGGAGCGACGGTGCTTTGACACTGGTTTTCCAACGAGAACATACGTTGGATAATAAAGCAACAAAGATTGCAACTCATTAGATTCAAGAGAGTTTATTATAATGTAGTTTATAATGAATCCGTAATGGAGAAGTGCGCAGTCAAACAACCCCTCAGGTGAGGAGGAGTCAGGTTTCAGTAGAGTTCTCTTTTGTCTTGTTTCATTTCTAAATACATGACCGGTAACGAGGAAGATCTAAAGCAGATAATGATGGATACATACACGAAGTAAAGATTAAATAATACCCTCTTCAATACAAAGGGTAAGTAATGCCAGCCTTACAACTTTTCAACAAAATGTCCAATATTGGAATAAAGTGAATCTTGTCTCGTTTTCACTTTCCCACAATAAAGTACTCTAAATGAAACACTTCTTATTTGTCTAGGCTCAGGTGAAAAGTTCATTTTAATCAAGTTAAAATAATCAATACTACAAATATATTCAATATCTGTATATAAGAGGAAAGTTAGCTTTTTTCCATTTAGATCAATACAAAGAGACAGGTTTATGTATCGTGATTATAAAAAGGTGGAATCACATTGAACTGGTTATCTGCAAAGTGACTTCCTGCCTCTCTCCTACTGATCACGTTACACTTGTTATCAGCATTTCCTCCAGCAGGGAGCAGCAACAGACCATTAAAACCTCTACAGCAGTGTTTCTCAAACTTTTCATACCAAGGACCACTTAACCAATAAATAAACACTCGCGGACCACCTAACTCCACAAATATCCAAAAACACATCGTTTTTTACAAATCGCCTGAAAATTGTACAAACAAGTGGCAACATGTGTGATGAAGGTGCTTATCTGGGCTATATCATGCAATCAAAGTGAAACGTAAGCTCGTTCCATTGCGGAGATATTCCCGCGAGAGTGCGAAAAACTTAAATCAATTAATTTATTTCAAATGTGAAATTTTACCAATATACTCACGGACCACTAGGGGGCGCTCATGGACCACCAGTGGTCCGTGGACCACACTTTGAGAAGCACTGCAGGTTCACCAGACGCGTGCTCAGGTGGAGACAGAACAACTTTTGGTAAAGATAGATCATCTGTGCGCTTTGCTCTGGTTAATTACCTGTGTTTAAAAGGTGATTTTCAAATAGACTACAGCACCATGAACTCTGTGAGCCAAACAAATATGAAACGGACCACCGTCCTCATATTAACAAACCTATCTAATACAGGAAGAAGGAAGTTGAAGTTCCTTGTTCTTCGCAGCCTTTCTGCACAAAAGAAACCTAAAACATTCAAAATAGCGCCTTTAAATTCGATAAGCAGGTTAGCACTGTAGTCAAGACCTGCTTTTTTAAAATACGACTATTGGCCAAGACCAAGTCGTTTTATCTTTTAAAGACCTAGAAAGGGTTATTAACGCCTTTGTTACCTCGAGACTGGATTACTGCAATGCTCTGTATGTGGGTATGGACCAGGCCTCAATTAGACGCCTGCAGCTAGTTCAGAATGCAGCTGCACGTCTTCTCACTGGCCACAAAAAGCGTGACCACATCACCCCAATTCTGGCTTCACTGCACTGGCTTCAAGTTCAGTTCAGAATAGATTTTAAACTCCTTTTATTTGTTTTCAAGCCCTTTTAGGCTTCTCTTATCAAGAATAACTTTTATCCCTTTTCCCTCTCTAACCTCTCGAGGTTTTATTAGAGGGAAAGGGTTTGTAGAGTGGCTTAGACAGGCCGGGGAGTGTTACAATTCGTAGACACAGCGTACCTCCCTATCTCTCAGCAATTTCCAACTAAGGCTCCAGTGGGGACTTTGTTCCCCGAGTGTGCCTCTCCACCTATGTTTCTTACTCTCTCACTTGCTACCCTTTGCCCTTAACTTATTCTAAGGGAGTGCTTGTTCTTCCGTCTCTCTGTCTGTGTCTGTGTATTCTCTTGTTCCCATTAACCCAGCCAAATGTTTTCTTGTTTTGTATCTATATCTACGCCGAGATCCGGAGTCGAGGCTGATCCTCTTGTTGTAGTCCTGGATCCTCTATCCTTAGTTCTGGATTAAGTCGTGGACTTCGGGTCGTGGCTGAACCTGTCTCTGCGGTCCTGCCTTGGGTCTCGTCATGCTGCTTCCCTGATGGCTTCCACAGGATTGTAGCTGACATCCTCGTGGATTCACCTTCTTATTACAGACACATGCATTTCCTAACATTCGGTCTATATGCTGTAAAATGTATTATCTCTTCGATTTACACACGGCATCTATTGCACGTCTGTCCGTCCTGGGAGAGGGATCCCTCCTCTGTTGCTCTCCCTGAGGTTTCTCCCATTTTTCCCCTTTAAACTGTGGGTTTTCTCTGGAAGTTTTTCCTTGTACGATGTGAGGGTCTAAGGATAGAGGGTCTAAGGATAGAGGGTGTCGCAAGTAAGTTTGGCCTTGGGCCAATTTTTTGCTGAGCCGCAAGATGGCGGGCCAGAACATAATCAAAGCCTAATTCAAGGAATTGATTTTGGTAAGAGGGCGCAGCGCCCCTGTTCCCCGGTTCAGAAAAAACTCTATCGCTGATGACCCTCCATCAACACTCTGATGCGCAGTCAGATCCGCTGATTGGTTCACTGATGATACCAATCCAGAGCCTCTGGCTAGACCCGCCCAAAGGGAGGCTCGTCCTCTCTAGCCCCATTTCAGTCCCAAAGCCAGGGCTATTATCTGTATTTTAACAGATTTATCTTTTAAATTGAGGTGTTGCCTATTAATTGTTCTCTTCAAAGTTTATTTTTCTCTGAAATTTTAGGGAGGATGGTCCTCCCTTTCCTCAATGGACGAGCCTCCACTGAGTAAAGTAGAGTTATTAACTAGGTAGCAGTGTTATTATTATTATTCTGATAAGTATTGTCAAGTTCTCTGGGGTTTTTGGCATTTATTTGAGTGTTTGCCCACATTTGAGAGGCTTGAGGGGCAACAGAGGACGCATGGACAACTGGAATCCTTTTTCCTTTTCTTTATTTCAACTTTTCAAGGACACATTAGGATTCTTTCAGGTTGAAAACCTTTAAAAAATACCAAAGGACAAAATAAATCAATTACATCAGTTTTGCTTTGCAATTTAATATATTATAACCTAAATTAATCAGTAACCAAGTATTTTACTCAAACTCAATGTATTTAATAGTTAAATAAGTACTTTAATTGACCTGGTTCCCCACAACCACACATTTGCCTTATGTGACCCGCTCTATCGAAATCAGTCGAAAGTCGCAACGGCTCATTTCAAAATAAACGTGGATTTGCGTAAAAAAAATAGTTTTTCGGGGTTCGGGTGTTTTGTTTGATTTTAAATAAACAAAGTCTTGGTATTTCCAAAATCACCCGATAAATACATGTTTGAAGCTTGTAAAGGGAAGATGACAGCTCTCCCTCCACCCTGCTCTTCCACAGCGCCGCTTCCCCTCCCTCCGCTGACATTATGAATGTAAGCGGATATGTCGGGACAGAATTTATTTTACCGGACAAAATTTGAAACTCACCGGTCATGTTTCAATAATAATAAGAATTGTGTAGCAGAGTTTCCGTTAGCAGGTAATCTGCTGATGTTTAAAACTCAGTTCACGGGGCTCATTTTTATATTGCTTCAGTTTATAATCGTTACAGATCGAAAAGTTCAGATTAATTTTTCAATAAATGATTCCACAAACAACAAACAACATAAGTATTACATTCAAACAAACTACTTGTAGATGAAGACGTACATTATTCAAAAGTGTACATTAACTTTGAATAATAACACGGGAGAAACGGATGCTCTCTTTTCCCCTCTCCCTCCCTCTCTCTCCTGACAGCCCGTCAGTTTCTCAAGCAGCTCGCTAAACAGTGGGCGGGGCTTCAGATTATGCAGAGCTGCCTGTCTCCGTCAGACTCAGCAGCTGATCTGATCTCTCTCTCGGGTCCGGTTATACTTCACTCGCGTTTATGTCCATATCGATCAGATCCAGCTCTCCTGATCGGCCTTTATAGAGAGCACCGATCAAACTATTAAGAGTGAATATCGGCCGATAATGACCGGCGGCCGATCGATCGGCGGCTAACGGAAACCCTGATGTGCGACTGTCGGTCCTATGTTGTAAAAAAAAAAAAAAAAAAAAAATCTCAAAATAATATTTTATTTTTGATTCTGAAAATTACGGGCCAAATATTATTGCTGGCGGGCCAACAATGGCCCGCGGGCCGCCTGTTGCCGACCCATGGTTTAAGGTGAAGTTGAATGTAAATATTGGCTGACCATTTCTTAAAGAAACATGTCACACACCTTCAACTCCAGCTCCGATTAAAGCAAATATAGGAAGACATTTCATTTTTGCCTAAAAGATGCATTCAAGTTCAGCAGGATCACAGGCAGAGGTGGGAAGTTACATTTCCTCAAGTACTTAAGTACACGTTGAGTACTCCTACACAGTGGCAGTTCTAGATCAATTTGACTGGGGGGGCCACTGGGGGGCCAGTTATTTTCTGAGGGGGGCACAATAAATGCAGGACGAAAAAGAGAACTAGACAGTATGAAGGAATTGCGTATAAGAAAACAATGCAATACAGTTATTGGTATTTGTTTCAGTGCACTTATTTATTTCAGATAGATCTTATAGTTATTACTGTTAGCTTCAGCTTAAGTTATAGTGCAATGTTTGCACGAACACCATATTTATATAAAAATAAAGGCAATGAACAGTTACATCTCTACTTTACATCTACAATTACACGGATACAATAGTTTAACTCACCTTCAATTATCGTGGTAGTCTCTCGAAACGTAGGTTTCAATCAGTCTTTCTTGGATGCAACAGGCTCTGATGATCCGAGATGAAAAGTGTTTGTTTTTCGCGCGCTTCAGCCGGAGAGTGAAAGTGAGTGCACCGCTCTAATGGGTCTGACTAGAATGACGAATAACGTTAGTTCCGCCTATTCAGTCATTCAATAAATCATACATTTTTCATTTTTAGGGGGGCCACAGGTCAGTGTTAGGGGGTCACTGGCCCCCCCTAGAACCGCCCCTGCACATACACTCTGGTGCTTTACTCAAGTACAATATCTGGGTACTTCTACTTTTATTCAAGTACTAGATCTGAGTACTTTTACTTTTACTAAAGTACAATATTGTCAGGGTTGGGGAAAATCAGGACCCAAATGCAGAATGAGGAGAAGGGGTACAAGGTACAACAACAAGCAAGCTTTAATTAACAAAAGCTGTGGACAAGAAAAAAACAAGAAAAAACCAACAGGGACAAACATGGAGGAACATGGAAGAAGACGACCGAACATGGAGCAGAGGGAAGGACAAGACTAAATGATCATATTAATTTATACTTTTAACACTTTTTGAAATAGGCACTCACACGGTGGGAGAAAAAAAAACAAAACATTTTTATTAAATTTACATCATTTTACAAAATAAGACACTGACAGTGTTGGAGATATTTGGTCTTCTGCTTAGTTCCTGAGCGACGTCCATCATGCACTTGTTACGGCATGATGGACATTTTGAGTCAGAGTTTGTCACATAAACACGACATTACAAATACATATCTTGTGTAAATGAAAATATGTATTTAACCACTAAATGTACCCTCAGTTCCTTCTAGCTAAACGAGTAAACATTCCGCAGATATGTAAGGTTAAACTTCATTTAAATTAAAGCAAGTAAGCATTTGCATACGCACATTCATTCATACATGGGGGGGGGGGGGGGGGGCACTTTGCCCACCTTATTGCTGATGTTTACAGTGTAGGAGAGTAACTGAGCTAACGTGGCTAGTTAGCTAACGTCAGAAAACTGTAATTCAAGTAACGGCTAGTTGGATCCCGTTAGTGAGATAGAGACGAACATCTTTCGAGTGCTGGTAGATCACCGTCAGTTAGTTAGTTTTTAGTGATCAATCTGTGGGGTATCAAAGCCCTCAATGCACACACACGCTATATTTACTGTGATAAGAAAAAGTACAATAATAATAATAATACATTGGACTTTGATAGCGCTTTTCCTAATGCCAAAAGACGCTTTACATCAAATCAGAAACAGAAACGGTACAAAGAAAACAAAATGAGTCCAAGAGTACACGGTTCCGTCGCGTTGAAGCTTGCCGGTGGGCGTGCGACCAACAACCAATCACATTAATCTCCCGCCCCGGACACACAAGCACGCGGTTTGATTGGCTAGAGCTTGTTCTGGCATATGATTAGATTGGCTGGCGCTTCTGTCGACGCTTCAAAAGTTGAACTTTTCTCAAACTTTTGAAGCGAGCAACGGAACCACAATGCAGTTCGGCAACGCGTGACGTCACCCCATTCAAAGTGAATGGGACGGGTCTCCGCTGAAGCAGGCAACGCTGCGTTGTGGACGTACCGTTACTCCTATAGCATTGCCGCTTTGTTTTCACTATCTGTTTGTGCTAGTTGTTTTGTTTTGTGCTCAACACTTGGTATGAAGATACAAACTCTAAACTAAATGCTACGATACAGAATACTTTCTGCCGTCCTGATATTGACGAGGAGCTCAACTAGGGCTGTGCAATTAATCGTATTTTAATCGCGATTACGATTATGGTTTGCGACGATTATGAAAACAGCATAATTGACAAAATACGATTATTTTGCTGGGTGCGCTTTCGCCCCTCCCTAAAAGCCCACTCGGCCACGTGGGAGTGACATGTGTTCAGCGCAAGCGAAGATGTCAGAACAAGAGCAGCAACTAGTTAAAAAGAAGGGTCGCGGGGAAATTCCCAGTCGATCGCGAGATGTGTCTAAAAATAGAACAACAATATTCTGTTTTATCGTTAATGTCCTGTAACATAATGTTCCCGTGCCAGAATAATGCACTTGAACGCATCAAAGCTTTGTGATTGGCCGGCCTCACCCCATGTGTCCGGGCGTGGCTGGTGAGCAGTGCACTAGTTCGCTGACGTTGTCCGTGTCAACAGCATGGATGGTCAACAGGAGTGACAGTCCACACACACACAAGACCGCAATTATGGCAGCAGCAAAAAAGCCCAAAATATATAATTTTCACTCCGAGTGGGAGGATCATTATTTTTGTATCTATTCCAATTCAAAGTCCATCTGTCTCATCTGCAATGCGAGCGTGGCTTTATCGAAGAAGGGTAATTTAGGAGCGGCATTTGAAAACAGTGCACAAACGCTACGAGACGGAATTCCCTCAATTCTGCCCTACGCTCCAAAAGGGGAGGGGCCTGAGAGCACAGCTAAATGCACAGCAGTCCATTTCCACCAGGCCCAACAACAAGAGCAAGGCTGCTACCAGAGCATCTTATCGTGTCAGGCACGTTCTAAAACACATGAAGTCTTTCAAAGACGGCGAAGTTATGAAAGAAGCTTTCCTGGAGGCTGCGACGCGCTTTTGTGGGACAGTAAAAATAACAGCAGCATTTCAACAGGTTTTTGATATAATAAAAACTCAATTTAGATACTGTTATTAATCTGCTGTAAGTTTTAGTTTGTTTGAATTTATTCATGATAATTATTGTACAAAATGGTATAAGAATGCAAACATTAAGATCTGTTCTGTTTAAATTGATTATAGTCTATCAGTTCAGAAACTAGTGTTGCTTGCATCCTATTTTAAAGGCATTTCTTTTTATACTCTAATAAAATGAAACAAAAAATGGGTTTGATTCTATGAATGTTGTCTTTTTTATTGCACTTTTGCTGCAGCAGATTACTGTGTAGCTTCAGATCTGAGTTGTCTTATTAGTAAGCCTAATTTATACTTTTGTAGCAACACTATTTTTATATAATGGCAAAGAAAGGGTTCTTCAGAGTCTTTTCTTTTTTTCCTGTGTCATATGTGGCAGCACTGCCACAAGTTCCTCTTCAGAGAGGGTCTTCAGTGTAGGTTGCAATATCGTCACCTGCCTGCGCTCATCTCTGAAACCAGACCATGTAAACAGGCTGGTATTTAAGACATGAGCAGCCCTACCAGCATTTGCCATGGTGGTCTAAACATTTTTATTTGGTCTTAAATTGTAGTTCAACATTTATTTCCTGTTACTTCTGGACCATGACGGTGGGCCAGCCTTCAACGTTTAACTGAGTGGAATATGTTGAATATGTTTTACCAAAATGTTGGCTATATGTTAAGGAGTTTTCAGTAGGTTGTGACAGTGCACTGCAACATATTTGATTTAATTTATTTTGGTCTAATTTATTTTTATTTATCATATTAATATATGTTTAGTATGGTTTTGGAAGTGCGCTCCAACATATTTGTTGATCTTGTTTATTGGTAAAATATTATTTGTTTTAAAGTTCAATAAATGGTCAATGAATAATCGTCAAAATAATCGTGATATCAATTATTGACCAAATAATCGTGATTATGATTTTTGCCATAATCGCACAGCCCTAAGCTCAACCCACCATTTTGGAGCCAGGTAAAGACGTGTTATTGGCCCAATACGCTCGGTCCTCATCTGGAACAAGTAGAAAAGATAAAGTCCTTTCAGTAATGCTTTGCGTTTCAAGATGTTGTTTCCCCGGTCGGTCCACTTGTGTCCAGAGGTGCTGCAGGTCTGAATCCCACATCTGATGCTCTTATCCCCACATATTGACCAGGGGAGGAAGGAGGTGATTTGGTTCCTGAGACCCTGTAGTCCGGCGGCTGGAGGGAGAAGAGAAATGTAAATAATAATAATTATTAAACTGTCTCCCTCTAGAGACGTTCTGTCAGAATACACTCAAGAAGCAGCAACACATGTTTCCTTCTGACTTACATGTCGTCTCTGATATTTATTTTTCAAGAAACATCCACCAGCTCCAACAGCCACGACCACTAAGATGCAGATTGACAGAACCACGACCCACGAGCTCCAATTGTGCTGACCAACTAAAACCCAAAGAGACAACGTCTTCAGTAACTGCCACACAACAGACCGTCTTGAAACTCTTCACTTTGTTCTCTCCTTCTTACCTTTGACATCAGTCTCATTTTTTGGATCTGGAGTTTGGAGATTTCCTGGAAACTGTGTGGTCGTCAAAGTGTCATCAGAGATCGGTTCTGAAAAAGCAACAGTTGTTCATTATAATGAATTATCATTAAACATATGTACAAACCATGCTGGATAACACATTTGCTACACGGTGTGTGCAAGGGCTTGAAGAATGTGGACAAGTTTGCATCTTTTAGTCGACCAAAAACACGAATGACGTAATCAACATAGACTCCAGGATACTCTGCAACTTCTACAGGTGCACCATAGAGAGCATCCTGACTGGCTGCATCACGGCCTGGTACGGCAGCTGCACCGTAAGGCTTTACAGAGGGTGGTGAAAACAAAACATCACCAGGACGGAGCTGCCATCCATGGAGGAGCTGCACTCCCAGCGGCTCAGGAAGAAAGCTCTCAGGATTACAAAAGACCCCCATCACCCCAGCCACAAACTGTTCTGTCTGCTGCCGTCTGGCAGGCGGTACCGCAGCATTCGGACAAGAACCACCAGACTCAGGGACAGTTTCATCCCACAGGCCATAAGACTGTTAAACCAACACATCCTCACTCCCAGGTCGGCCTATGTTGACGTTATGTCAAGTGCCCTGTGTCGGCTTTTTCCAACGCAAAGGGGGGGCCCTTAGCGTACATTTTCAACTTTCCGGGATGTCCATAGGCTTCTATATAGCTCCCTAAACGTATGTTGTAGACGACTTGAGATCGCGAGTGAATGCTACCCGCAGATCCATTCTCACAGCGTGTATCAACCTTTTTCTAACTCAATATCAAGCCACACTTATTGTTTTTATTTCAACTTTTGTTGCCGTCAGTTATGGGGAGAGTAGGGGCTCAGAATACTGAAATCTGTATTAATGGACATGCCATTGTGCGATTAAGTGATCTATGGACCTCTGGACATCCCGGAAAGTTGAAAATGTACGCTAAGGGCCCGCCCCTCTTGTGTTGGAAAAAGCCGACACAGGGGACTTGACATAACGTCAACATAGGCCGACCTGGGAGTGAGGATGTGTTGGTTAAACACCTGAACTGCTGAAACTATTTCATAACATCCTACTTAGTCATTATTATCTATTATCTAATATATCATTCCAATAACTTGCATATAGATTCTTATTTCACTATTTCACTTTTTTTAAACAATTTTCTTTTGGTATTTACTATTTACTTGCACTATATTTGTGTGTTGCTCTTTTGGAGAAGCCTGTGACCTAAGATTTTCATCGGCATAACTACACTGTAGCTATGTTCACACGACTAAATAAAGAACCTTGAACCTTGTAATAGATGTTATATCAACTCCTAAAAATCGGAAACGTTATTTCGGTCGATTATTCCTCCTCTTTAATAATACCAATTGCTATAGTATTTTATATCGTTGGAAAGCCTGATTAGTCCACCTTTACAACGAGGTACAACTTGTAAGGATCGTGCATTCGTGGAATGAGCAACACAGCTAACCGTGCGGGTAGCGGCCCAAACATTTTTGCCAAAATCCCCTGCAATATTCTTCTGTTGGTATTCAGACTCATCAAATTATTGTGTCCGTCCAAAAAAAAAAAAAGTTTACTTATAGTGAAAACCACCGTTGAATGATGGGATCGGAGACTAAAAGCTTTAGGAATCCAAACTATAACATATAATAAGTACCCTGTATCAAGATTGATACAAAAGAAGTGACATTTGACCTTTTTAGAGAGATTTAGCAAAAAGAAACATTTCTGGGGTCATTTGGGTGGATTTTCCATATCTCTGGCTCCCTCAGTATATTTTGATGATTGGCATATCTTTTTAACCGCAAGAGCCACTAGAATCGAGGGGAAGTTCCTAAAATCCATCTAAACATTACCCATTGGTGTGTGAGTGCTGCGCAGCCAGAATGCCCAAAACCGGAAGCTGTCATACACTCTGGTAGCTATTATAGCAGCTATATATGAAAACTCAGTTTTTTTCCATAAATATGAAGATGGATGATCAGTAATAATTTCAAAGTGACAGACACATTGGATTAACCTGTGGATTAACCTTCAGCAGCGTTTTTATCGTTTTAATGCCATTGCAGACCAGTTTAGACCAGAGCAACAGCTAAGGTAAGACTATTTTCTGTTTTTGCTACCGAAAGCTACGTTGTGTGATGTCTGGGTTTGCTTCCCATGCCGCTCAGTGATGATACTTATACCTCTAGAATCTGTGGAATCTCAGCTTGCTAGCTGATGTCTTGTTTGTGCAGATCCGATAAGTAATAAAGTATTTACACCTTGAGTTCTGTGCTAAGTTCGTTAGCATTTTCCGCTCCGGGCTCATTTAGACACTTCTTCTGAGACTTGTGTTTTGTTTCGGTAAAACTGGATCATATCATCAGTTAGCTGAGTTTCTTCCCGTTAAGTGAGTATGACATATTCATAGTTTATTACATTTTAAGAAGCCCTGAGACACAGGGGGCTTCCGGGTTTAACAGGTTAAAGAGCTGAAAAAAACAAAAAAGTGAGTATATAGAGCAGGGGTGGCCAACCAGTCAGAGGTTAAGAGCCACATTTGTTCTATGTTACTGCAAAGAGCCACATCAAACACACAGTCACTGATACCGCTTGTTTCAGTTTTTTGTTTTCTGGAGACAAGATTTCAACCACGTCACTGATGCATTTTTGTGGCATTGGGATATATATTTTTTAAATCCTCTGGAGCAGAGAGAGGAGCTGTGGATTATTGTTATTGATTAATGCATCAGTGTTTCTTAGGGTCAAAAACACTAAACTCACAACTTAAGATGAAAGCGTTTAGTTTATTTAATAAAAGAGCACATGTTCAATGTGAAAAGTGACAGTAGTTATAGATTATTTGCAATTTGGTGCTATATATTTATATTTAAAAAAAATTATATATATTTTTTAAACACCTTGAATTTCAGGGGGGGGCGCGGGGCTCTGTTGGCGGGGCGCAGCACCCCTCCAAGACAATGGTAGGGGAAACACTGGATAGTGTTTAGTCAACGATAGGTTTCCCCCCCCCCCCCCTCAAATTGGTTCACTGCATCGCAGGTATTATTGTGATTGGCTCTTGGGCCACATCAAAATTAGACGCGCTGTCATTCATCCTCTCATACAAGCCACACACAAGTAGGGAGAGCCGGGACAAAAGTAACACGGGTCGAAAGTAACGGAGCGATTTTATCCGAGTCCAAACTACTTTGACCGGCCAAATTACGTCAGAATGATCAGCATTCAATACTTAACAGACCTACTAAATATCAGGTTAACTGTCAGGAGTAGCTAGTGTTGTCACGATACCAACATTTTGGTTTCGATACCAAGTCAAGAATTGCGATTCCGATTCTTTTTCGATACTTTTCTTAAAAAAAGGGAAACAGTATTAAATGTAATTATTGTGCTTTAGTTCACACCAGAACCATAACACAAACTTTTAAACAATGAGAACAATAAATAAAATAAATGACAAGAATTCGTATTAAATAAAATTAATACATTTCTTACAGACAGGCCTCGTGGTGTCCGTAGGCTTGCCCTCACTGTCAGAGATATAGCTCAAAATTTAAATACTTCCAAATTTCGCTTCCGGCGTCTTTTTGTCAACAAGCCGAGCACAGCGGCAGTTGCACTCCCACTTGCAGCCATGCTTCTCGTTTTCTCACATGCTCTGGCAGCTAGCGCGTGCACGAGAGAGGGGAGGGACTTAGAGCGTGCTTGAGAGGGGAGGGACTTAGAGCGTGTTTGAGAGGGGAGGGACTGCAGGCACGGCTGCAGTGCAGGGAGTGCAAGCAGAGCGCTGAACACACACGGCTCTTATTAAAACGGCGCTTTCTCACCGGAGTACTTTCCCCCGTCATTCTTAAAGTACCGATACTAATGAAACGGAGGAATCGTAACGTTTTTAACGGCAGGGTATCGCGGTACCCTTCAAGTATCGGTACACCGTGCAACACTAGTCAGGAGTCAGTGTCTCTCCCCCAAACTCACACATATACAATTCGATATGAACTGAAGAGCCGCATGAAACTAGGCAAAGAGCCGCATGCGGCTCGAGAGCCGCGGGTTGGCCACTCCTGATATAGAGAGTCGGACTCTTTGAAAAAGAAAAAAGTGCAAACGTACCAAAGACTTCCAGCTTTATGGTGGTATCTAACGGCAGGTGTGGGATGATACATCTGTATCTCCCGTCATCAGAGAGCTTCAGGTTTCTGATCCGGAGGGAAACGTTCCCGAGTTTCAGGCCGTCTGCGAACATCTCCGTCCTCCCAGCGTACGACGGCATCGTCTGGGCCTCCTGATGCTGCTTTTCAGGGTACAGGTGAACGTACCTGTAGGAGCCAAAATGCTGAGTTAGCCCCTGTTTATATGTTTATTTATTATTTATAAAACCACACACACATTGGTAATTTATCGTTACCAATAGTTGTGGGTGTGGTTTATGGTATTAAGGCACCTGGTGTATGTGGAGGTTAGTAGTGTGACAATTAGCTCTGAGATCTTTGGTTGACTGGATGATTGTTTGTTTATTGTTTGTTTATTTAAATATCCTGAAACTTTAAAGCTCTCCTATCATGCAGATGCACTTTATGATGTCTTTTATACATACATATGTGTCCCGGTGTGTAAGGAGACTCACAAAGTGTCAGAAAACAAAACCCTCTCTCTTTTCCTTCTTTTCTTTTACATGTTTGTAGTAGGGCCGGGACTTTAACGCGTTAATTAAGATTAATTAATTACACAAAAATTAACGCATTTTAATCGCACTTATTTTTGCACCGCGGAACGTTTCTCACTGGATGAGTTTCAGGCGTACCGATTATACTGGAGCACCAACTAACGTTCATGACTTCAGACAACAACAAACCACAGTGAACAACAGTGGGAAATGTGTTTTAAAAAACGGACGGATGGAAGCGTCGATAAGAGCACGGTTGTGTGCAAATTATGCAAAAAGGAATTCGCATATCACCCGCAGCACATCAAGCCCTCAAGTATCACCTCAATGCAAAACATATAGCAGCTAGCGTGGACGTTAGCCTCTTTTATCGCGTTCGCACCAAAAAGAGCCGGTACTAAAATTAGTTCATGAGAACCTTTTTACCCCGACGAAAGTCCTGCTAGAGAGCAGAGAGCTGCTAGAGAGCAGGGACTTTCGTACGGCTCTCTTGTGAGAAAAGAGCTATATTTCTGATTGGCTGGGCGGATTGCAAACCACGCCCCGTAAAAACTCCCAAAAAGTTTTGTGAAGCCGCCATTTTATTATCCTCGCATTAGCATTATTAGCATTAGCCCAGCGCAGAAACGCAGAGAGACTAACTTATGGCAACACAAAATAAAACATGGGAGCGGTGGAGATGAGGAGGTGTCGGCGTTCTGGCGATTTACTCGGAAGGCTTCAGTAGAAGCTGCTGGGGACTCCCAGCAGCTTCTACTGAAGCCTTCCCCAACTCCGGGGACTTCCGGCCGGGGACTTTGGGCGGCAGTATACGCCGTGAAGTGGTTTGCGGCCTGCCAGTAAACCCAAAGCAGAAGAAGAAGAAGTGACGTCAGCGGCTTCATTTGCCTAATCCACCCCCAGGTTCAAAGAGTTCTCCATGAACTAAGTTCTCATGAACCTTTGTGGGAAAAGTACTGCTGGTGGGAGGGAATGCGCCTAATGGTATACTAAAATCCATGTGAAAAAATTGCTTCTCACTGTTCTCAGATCAAATATTTATATGTGATTAAAAATGCGATTAATTTCGATTAATTAATTACAAAGCCTCTAATTAATTAGATTAATTTTTTTAATCGAGTCCCGGCCCTAGTTTGTATTAAAAAAATCCTGGACAGCTTCCTCCACCAGGCGGTCAGGATGCTGAACTTCTCTCTCCTCCCTCCCTCTCTGACATCTCTCCCCTGAACTCTCCACCCTGCCTCCCACCTTTCCCCCCCGGCCCCAAATGGTCCTGGACACACACCACACACACACACACACACACACACCACCACACACACACCCACACACACACACACACACACACACACACAACACACACACACACACACACACACACACACACACACACCACACACCACACACACACACACACACACACACACCACACACCACACACACACACACACACACACACACACACACACACACCACACACAACCTTCCCTCCTCCAGCACCAGTCACCTTTCTGCCCTGCTACTGCACTGAAACTGTACTTTGAACATTTTAAACATATTATTAACATTTTAAACTGTATACCCCCGGTTATCTAGGCCCGTTTTATGTATATATGTCACACTGTGGGACTGTGGAAAACGGTATCCTCGAGATTTCTGGATGTATAACACATGTAGTAATTTTGAAAATAAAGCTGACTTTGAGTAAGTCAGCTTACTCTGACTTTAGTAACAGGGCTGAAAATAGAGGGGGATGAGGCTAGAATGGGTGATCTGTTTGGTATTTTGAGCAAAACACTTTGTAGACATGTTTTGTATTTATCTGAGACCTATAATATATGCTTACAAATAGTATAATAGGAGACCTTTAACTTTAGTACGGACTTTTAGTATTTATACACGTCATGAGGAAGCGTAATTGAATGGTAATCTAGCCGCCACAGTACCAGTTTGGGTCCACAAGGATTTCGGGCCTCCACCACATCACCGTCAAATCCTCCATATTGATCTGAGGCTGCACAACACACGGCAGGATGACATCACCACCCAGAGGAGCCCTGATTGGCTCAGAGGAACCTGAGTTTTCAGGCTGAGGTCGACCTGTGAAAATATAGGGAGAAATATAAAGGTCCCTTGACATGCTTTTCTGGTTGTTACCCGTCCCTTGTGTGTTATGAAGGTTTTTCTGCATGTAAACAGTCTGCAGAGTCAAAACCCTCAAAGTACACACCCTGTAGCGAGTAAAACTCTAACACAGAGAAGACCTGTCTGTGCTGTCCCAGAACGCCTCGTTGGACATTTCTCTTTTCCATTGTTTGCTTCCTGGGTTCTGTGACGTGTGAACACCCAGATCAACAACAAATGACCAAATGCAGGGCCGTCCCTGGCCAACATGAGGCCCCATGCAAAGATATATGATGAAGCCCTCTGTTTCGAAATATATACATTTCTTTTTTTCTGAAAATTATATCTGATTAAAGTCAGAATTCAATTTTCTTTTCGGTCACATCCCCCCAAAAATGTCTTACATGGCCCCAATCCTCGTCAGTATGAACATCATAAAGAAAGAAATATAAAGGAAATTGTGAAAATAAAACAAAAAGTCATATTTCCAATATAATGTTTATCAAATACAAATGTGGTTGCCTTTTCATTTACATATAAATAACTTCATACTTATACCGACATATATATGTAGATACTATAAAGTAATTATAATGAAGTGTTTCCTGTTGAGGAAATGTGGGACAGGCTGATCGGTGTGTGGTGCATATTTTGGTGTGTGATGTGCGCACAGACAAGGAGTGACAGGGAGATTCCTCCAGGTGAGGCCTACAAGGTTTTCTGCTAACCTTTCTAACAAAGACGATGTTATAAGGACATCAAATGAAAAAAGTGGCCGATATGACATCCATTTTTAAGAAGTAATGAAAAATCTGCACAATAATAATTCCTTTTATATTCTCTGAAAGTGTGATCTGATTATTCCCAGTCCCACTAAACTATGAGGAAGTAGGAATCAGGTGTACATTTCTGTCGACTAAACTACATATAAAGTAATTTGTCAAACCTATTTCCACTACAATAAACGTAGCCTACTAAAGCCGTTAATAGCATTTTCCCAATGAGAAAAAGATGAAATAACTTCAGAGTTTCACAAACATTGGTTACCTTGAATCTGCTCCGTTGCGACGACCACCGGGAGAACAAGAGCCCAGATCAGGAGAGGAAGAATCCAGCTAGACACGAAGAAGACCATAAGGAGCGAAAGATTTGCAAATATTGTTGTAAAGAAACAGCGCGACTGAGCACCAACACAGTAAATCAAGAAGCAACTGGCGCATGCGCAGTCGTAGGGCAACACCTGTACCTGGAGTCCCGTGAACTTTTTAACATTTTAAAAACGGGAGTGCATCAAACATAATCATCATGAACATTGTGAATTTGTTAAGAAAACAGAAATACCTGACACCGTCCATCCTGCAGTTTGTCATCACCAGTAAGAGATGTAACTTCGCTCTTAAAGTGTTTTATTTTGAAGGAGCGACGGTGCTTTGACACTGGTTTTTCCAACGAGAACATACGTTGGATAAATAAAGCAACAAAGATGCAACTCATTAGATTCAAGAGAGTTTTATTATAATGTAGTTTATAATGAATCCGTAATGGAGAAGTGCGCAGTCAAACAACCCCTCAGGTGAGGAGGAGTCAGGTTTCAGTAGAGTTCTCTTTTGTCTTGTTTCATTTCTAAATACATGACCGGTAACGAGGAAGATCTAAAGCAGATAATGATGGATACATACACGAAGTAAAGATTAAATAATACCCTCTTCAATACAAAGGGTAAGTAATGCCAGCCTTACAACTTTTCAACAAATGTCCAATATTGGAATAAAGTGAATCTTGTCTCGTTTCACTTTCCCACAATAAAGTACTCTAAATGAAACACTTCTTATTTGTCTAGGCTCAGGTGAAAAGTTCATTTTAATCAAGTTAAAATAATCAATACTACAAATATATTCAATATCTGTATATAAGAGGAAAGTTAGCTTTTTCCATTTAGGATCAATACAAAGAGACAGGTTTATGTATCGTGATTATAAAAAGGTGTGGAATCACATTGAACTGGTTATCTGCAAAGTGACTTCCTGCCTCTCTCCTACTGATCACGTTACACTTGTTATCAGCATTTCCTCCAGCAGGGAGCAGCAACAGACCATTAAAACCTCTACAGCAGTGTTTCTCAAACTTTTTCATACCAAGGACCACTTAACCAATAAATAAACACTCGCGGACCACCTACTCCACAAATATCCAAAAACACATCGTTTTTTACAAATCGCCTGAAAATTGTACAAACAAGTGGCAACATGTGTGATGAAGGTGCTTATCTGGGCTATATCATGCAATCAAAGTGAAACGTAAGCTCGTTCCATTGCGGAGATATTCCCGCGAGAGTGCGAAAAAACTTAAATCAATTAATTTATTTCAAATGTGAAATTTTACCAATATACTCACGGACCACTAGGGGGCGCTCATGGACCACCAGTGGTCCGTGGACCACACTTTGAGAAGCACTGCAGGTTTCACCAGACGCGTGCTCAGGTGGAGACAGAACAACTTTTGGTAAAGATAGATCATCTGTGCGCTTTGCTCTGGTTAATTACCTGTGTTTAAAAGGTGATTTTCAAATAGACTACAGCACCATGAACTCTGTGAGCCAAACAAATATGAAACGGACCACCGTCCTCATATTACAAACCTATCTAATACAGGAAGAAGGAAGTTTGAAGTTCCTTGTTCTTCGCAGCCTTTTCTGCACAAAAGAACTAAAACATTCAAAATAGCGCCTTTAAATTCGATAAGCAGGTTAGCACTGTAGTCAAGACCTGCTTTTTTAAAATACGACTATTGGCCAAGACCAAGTCGTTTTATCTTTTAAAGACCTAGAAAGGGTTATTAACGCCTTTGTTACCTCGAGACTGGATTACTGCAATGCTCTGTATGTGGGTATGGACCAGGCGTCAATTAGACGCCTGCAGCTAGTTCAGAATGCAGCTGCACGTCTTCTCACTGGCCACAAAAAGCGTGACCAACATCACCCCCAATTCTGGCTTCACTGCACTGGCTTCAAGTTCAGTTCAGAATAGATTTTAAACTCCTTTTATTTGTTTCAAGCCCTTTTAGGCTTCTCTTATCAAGAATAACTTTTATCCCTTTTCCCTCTCTAACCTCTCGAGGTTTATTAGAGGGAAAGGGTTTGTAGAGTGGCTTAGACAGGCCGGGGAGTGTTTACAATTCGTAGACACAGCGTACCTCCCTATCTCTCAGCAATTTCCAACTAAGGCTCCAGTGGGGACTTTGTTCCCCGAGTGTGCCTCTCCACCTATGTTTCTTACTCTCTCCACTTGCTACCCTTTGCCCTTAACTTATTCTAAGGGAGTGCTTGTTCTTCCGTCTCTCTGTCTGTGTCTGTGTATTCTCTTGTTCCCATTACCCAGCCAAATGTTTTCTTGTTTTGTATCTATATCTACGCCGAGATCCGGAGTCGAGGCTGATCCTCTTGTTGTAGTCCTGGATCCTCTATCCTTAGTTCTGGATTAAGTCGTGGACTTCGGGTCGTGGCTGAACCTGTCTCTGCGGGTCCTGCCTTGGGTCTCGTCATGCTGCTTCCCTGATGGCTTCCACAGGATTGTAGCTGACATCCTCGTGGATTCACCTTCTTATTACAGACACATGCATTTCCTAACATTCGGTCTATATGCTGTAAAATGTATTATCTCTTCGATTTACACACGGCATCTATTGCACGTCTGTCCGTCCTGGGAGAGGGATCCCTCCTCTGTTGCTCTCCCTGAGGTTTCTCCCATTTTCCCCTTTAAACTGTGGGTTTTCTCTGGAAGTTTTTCCTTGTACGATGTGAGGGTCTAAGGATAGAGGGTCTAAGGATAGAGGGTGTCGCAAGTAAGTTTGGCCTTGGGCCAATTTTTTGCTGAGCCGCAAGATGGCGGGCCAGAACATAATCAAAGCCTAATTCAAGGAATTGATTTTGGTAAGAGGGCGCAGCGCCCCTGTTCCCCGGTCAGAAAAAACTCTATCGCTGATGACCCTCCATCAACACTCTGATGCGCAGTCAGATCCGCTGATTGGTTCACTGATGATACCAATCCAGAGCCTCTGGCTAGACCCGCCCAAAGGGAGGCTCGTCCTCTCTAGCCCCATTTCAGTCCCAAAGCCAGGGCTATTATCTGTATTTTAACAGACTTATCTTTTAAATTGAGGTGTTGCCTATTAATTGTTCTCTTCAAAGTTTATTTTTCTCTGAAATTGTAGGGAGGATGGTCCTCCCTTTCCTCAATGGACGAGCCTCCACTGAGTAAAGTAGAGTTATTAACTAGGTAGCAGTGTTATTATTATTATTCTGATAAGTATTGTCAAGTTCTCTGGGTTTTTGGCATTTATTTGAGTGTTTGCCCACATTTGAGAGGCTTGAGGGGCAACAGAGGACGCATGGACAACTGGAATCCTTTTTCCTTTTCTTTATTTCAACTTTTCAAGGACACATTAGGATTCTTTCAGGTTGAAAACCTTTAAAAAATACAAAGGACAAAATAAATCAATTACATCAGTTTTGCTTTGCAATTTAATATATTATAACCTAAATTAATCAGTAACCAAGTATTTTACTCAAACTCAATGTATTTAATAGTTAAATAAGTACTTTAATTGACCTGGTTCCCCACAACCACACATTTGCCATATGTGACCCCGCTCTAATCGAAATCAGTCGAAAGTCGCAACGGCTCATTTCAAAATAAACGTGGATTTGCGTAAAAAAAATAGTTTTTCGGGGGTTCGGGTGTTTTGTTTGATTTTAAATAAACAAAGTCTTGGTATTTCCAAAATCACCCGATAAATACATGTTTGAAGCTTGTAAAGGGAAGATGACAGCTCTCCCTCCCACCCTGCTCTTCCACAGCGCCGCTTCCCCTCCCTCCGCTGACATTATGAATGTAAGCGGATATGTCGGGACAGAATTTATTTTACCGGACAAAATTTGAAACTCACGGTCATGTTTCAATAATAATAAGAATGTGTGTAGCAGAGTTTCCGTTAGCAGGTAATCTGCTGATGTTTAAAACTCAGTTCACGGGGCTCATTTTTATATTGCTTCAGTTTATAATCGTTTACAGATCGAAAAGTTCAGATTAATTTTTCAATAAATGATTCCACAAACAACAAACAACATAAGTATTACATTCAAACAAACTACTTGTAGATGAAGACGTACATTATTCAAAAGTGTACATTAACTTTGAATAATAACACGGGAGAAACGGATGCTCTCTTTTCCCCTCTCCCTCCCTCTCTCTCCTGACAGCCCGTCAGTTTCTCAAGCAGCTCGCTAAACAGTGGGCGGGGCTTCAGATTATGCAGAGGCTGCCTGTCTCCGTCAGACTCAGCAGCTGATCTGATCTCTCTCTCGGGTCCGGTTATACTTCACTCGCGTTTATGTCCATATCGATCAGATCCAGCTCTCCTGATCGGCCTTTATAGAGAGCACCCGATCAAACTATTAAGAGTGAATATCGGCCGATAATGACCGGCGGCCCGATCGATCGGCGGCTAACGGAAACCCTGATGTGCGACTGTGGTCCTATGTTGTAAAAAAAAAAAAAAAAAAAAAATCTCAAAATAATATTTTATTTTTGATTCTGAAAAATTACGGGCCAAATATTATTACGCTGGCGGGCCAACAATGGCCCGCGGGCCGCCTGTTGCCGACCCATGGTTTAAGGTGAAGTTGAATGTAAATATTGGCTGACCATTTCTTAAAGAAAACATGTCACACCACCTTCAACTCCAGCTCCGATTAAAGCAAATATAGGAAGACATTTCATTTTTGCCTAAAAGATGCATTCAAGTTCAGCAGGATCACAGGCAGAGGTGGGAAGTTACATTTCCTCAAAGTACTTAAGTACACGTTGAGTACTCCTACACAGTGGCAGTTCTAGATCAATTTGACTGGGGGGGGCCACTGGGGGGCCAGTTATTTTCTGAGGGGGGGCACAATAAATGCAGGACGAAAAAGAGAACTAGACAGTATGAAGGAATTGCGTATAAGAAAACAATGCAATACAGTTATTGGTATTTGTTTCAGTGCACTTATTTATTTCAGATAGATCTTATAGTTATTACTGTTAGCTTCAGCTTAAGTTATAGTGCAATGTTTTGCACGAACACCATATTTATATAAAAATAAAGGCAATGAACAGTTACATCTCTACTTTACATCTACAATTACACGGATACAATAGTTTAACTCACCTTCAATTATCGTGGTAGTCTCTCGAAACGTAGGTTTCAATCAGTCTTTCTTGGATGCAACAGGCTCTGATGATCCGAGATGAAAAGTGTTTGTTTTTTCGCGCGCTTCAGCCGGAGAGTGAAAGTGAGTGCACCGCTCTAATGGGTCTGACTAGAATGACGAATAACGTTAGTTCCGCCTATTCAGTCATTCAATAAATCATACATTTTTCATTTTTAGGGGGGCCACAGGTCAGTGTTAGGGGGTCACTGGCCCCCCCTAGAACCGCCCCTGCACATACACTCTGGTGCTTTACTCAAGTACAATATCTGGGTACTTCTACTTTTATTCAAGTACTAGATCTGAGTACTTTTACTTTTACTAAAGTACAATATTGTCAGGGTTGGGGAAAATCAGGACCCAAATGCAGAATGAGGAGAAGGGGGTACAAGGTACAACAACAAGCAAGCTTTAATTAACAAAAGCTGTGGACAAGAAAAAAACAAGAAAAAAACCAACAGGGACAAACATGGAGGAACATGGAAGAAGACGACCGAACATGGAGCAGAGGGAAGACAAGACTAAATGATCATATTAATTTATACTTTTAACACTTTTTGAAATAGGCACTCACACGGTGGGAGAAAAAAAACAAAACATTTTTATTAAATTTACATCATTTTACAAAATAAGACACTGACAGTGTTGGAGATATTTGGTCTTCTGCTTAGTTCCTGAGCGACGTCCATCATGCACTTGTTACGGCATGATGGACATTTTGAGTCAGAGTTTGTCACATAAACACGACATTACAAATACATATCTTGTGTAAATGAAAATATGTATTTAACCACTAAATGTACCCTCAGTTCCTTCTAGCTAAACGAGTAAACATTCCGCAGATATGTAAGGTTAAACTTCATTTAAATTAAAGCAAGTAAGCATTTGCATACGCACATTCATTCATACATGGGGGGGGGGGGGGGGGGCACTTTGCCCACCTTATTGCTGATGTTTACAGTGTAGGAGAGTAACTGAGCTAACGTGGCTAGTTAGCTAACGTCAGAAAACTGTAATTCAAGTAACGGCTAGTTGGATCCCGTTAGTGAGGATAGAGACGAACATCTTTCGAGTGCTGGTAGATCACCGTCAGTTAGTTAGTTTTTAGAGATCAATCTGTGGGGTATCAAAGCCCTCAATGCACACACACGCTATATTTACTGTGATAAGAAAAAGTACAATAATAATAATAATACATTGGACTTTGATAGCGCTTTTCCTAATGCCAAAAGACGCTTTACATCAAATCAGAAACAGAAACGGTACAAAGAAAACAAAATGAGTCCAAGAGTACACGGTTCCGTCGCGTTGAAGCTTGCCGGTGGGCGTGCGACACAACAACCAATCACATTAATCTCCCGCCCCGGACACACAAGCACGCGGTTTGATTGGCTAGAGCTTGTTCTGGCATATGATTAGATTGGCTGGCGCTTCTGTCGACGCTTCAAAAGTTGAACTTTTCTCAAACTTTTGAAGCGAGCAACGGAACCACAATGCAGTTCGGCAACGCGTGACGTCACCCCATTCAAGTGAATGGGACGGGTCTCCGCTGAAGCAGGCAACGCTGCGTTGTGGACGTACCGTTACTCCTATAGCATTGCCGCTTTGTTTTCACTATCTGTTTGTGCTAGTTGTTTTGTTTTGTGCTCAACACTTGGTATGAAGATACAAACTCTAAACTAAATGCTACGATACAGAATACTTTCTGCCGTCCTGATATTGACGAGGAGCTCAACTAGGGCTGTGCAATTAATCGTATTTTAATCGCGATTACGATTATGGTTTGCGACGATTATGAAAACAGCATAATTGACAAAATACGATTATTTTGCTGGGTGCGCTTTCGCCCCTCCCTAAAAGCCCACTCGGCCACGTGGGAGTGACATTGTTGTCAGCGCAAGCGAAGATGTCAGAACAAGAGCAGCAACTAGTTAAAAAGAAGGGTCGCGGGGAAATTCCCAGTCGATCGCGAGATGTGTCTAAAAATAGAACAACAATATTCTGTTTTATCGTTAATGTCCTGTAACATAATGTTCCCGTGCCAGAATAATGCACTTGAACGCATCAAAGCTTTGTGATTGGCCGGCCTCACCCCATGTGTCCGGGCGTGGCTGGTGAGCAGTGCACTAGTTCGCTGACGTTGTCCGTGTCAACAGCATGGATGGTCAACAGGAGTGACAGTCCACACACACACAAGACCGCAATTATGGCAGCAGCAAAAAAGCCCAAAATATATAATTTTCACTCCGAGTGGGAGGATCATTATTTTTGTATCTATTCCAATTCAAAGTCCATCTGTCTCATCTGCAATGCGAGCGTGGCTTTATCGAAGAAGGGTAATTTAGGAGCGGCATTTGAAAACATGTGCACAAACGCTACGAGACGGAATTCCCTCAATTCTGCCCTACGCTCCAAAAGGGGAGGGGCCTGAGAGCACAGCTAAATGCACAGCAGTCCATTTCCACCAGGCCCAACAACAAGAGCAAGGCTGCTACCAGAGCATCTTATCGTGTCAGGCACGTTCTAAAACACATGAAGTCTTTCAAAGACGGCGAAGTTATGAAAGAAGCTTTCCTGGAGGCTGCGACGCGCTTTTGTGGGACAGTAAAAATAACAGCAGCATTTCAACAGGTTTTTGATATATAAAAACTCAATTTAGATACTGTTATTAATCTGCTGTAAGTTTTAGTTTGTTTGAATTTATTCATGATAATTATTGTACAAAATGGTATAAGAATGCAAACATTAAGATCTGTTCTGTTTAAATTGATTATAGTCTATCAGTTCAGAAACTAGTGTTGCTTGCATCCTATTTTAAAGGCATTTCTTTTTATACTCTAATAAAATGAAACAAAAAATGGGTTTGATTCTATGAATGTTGTCTTTTTTATTGCACTTTTGCTGCAGCAGATTACTGTGTAGCTTCAGATCTGAGTTGTCTTATTAGTAAGCCTAATTTATACTTTTGTAGCAACACTATTTTTATATAATGGCAAAGAAAGGGTTCTTCAGAGTCTTTTCTTTTTTTCCTGTGTCATATGTGGCAGCACTGCCACAAGTTCCTCTTCAGAGAGGGTCTTCAGTGCAGGTTGCAATATCGTCACCTGCCTGCGCTCATCTCTGAAACCAGACCATGTAAACAGGCTGGTATTTAAGACATGAGCAGCCCTACCAGCATTTGCCATGGTGGTCTAAACATTTTTATTTGGTCTTAAATTGTAGTTCAACATTTATTTCCTGTTACTTCTGGACCATGACGGTGGGCCAGCCTTCAACGTTTAACTGAGTGGAATATGTTGAATATGTTTTACCAAAATGTTGGCTATATGTTAAGGAGTTTTCAGTAGGTTGTGACAGTGCACTGCAACATATTTGATTTAATTTATTTTGGTCTAATTTATTTTTATTTATCATATTAATATATGTTTAGTATGGTTTTGGAAGTGCGCTCCAACATATTTGTTGATCTTGTTTATTGGTAAAATATTATTTGTTTTAAAGTTCAATAAATGGTCAATGAATAATCGTCAAAATAATCGTGATATCAATTATTGACCAAATAATCGTGATTATGATTTTTGCCATAATCGCACAGCCCTAAGCTCAACCCACCATTTTGGAGCCAGGTAAAGACGTGTTATTGGCCCAATACGCTCGGTCCTCATCTGGAACAAGTAGAAAAGATAAAGTCCTTTCAGTAATGCTTTGCGTTTCAAGATGTTGTTTCCCCCCGGTCGGTCCACTTGTGTCCTGACGTGCTGCAGGTCTGAATCCACATCTGATGCTTTTATCCCCACATATGGAGCAGGGGAGGAAGGAGGTGGTTCGGTTTCTGGGACGCTGCAGCACGGCAGCTGGAGGGAAAAGAGAAATGTAAATAATAATAATTATTAAACTGTCTCCCTCTAGAGACGTTCTGTCAGAATACACTCAAGAAGCAGCAACACATGTTTCCTTCTGACTTACATGTCGTCTCTGATATTTATTTTTCAAGAAACATCCACCAGCTCCAACAGCCACGACCACTAAGATGCAGATTGACAGAACCACGACCCACGAGCTCCAATTGTGCTGACCAACTAAAACCCAAAGAGACAACGTCTTCAGTAACTGCCACACAACAGACCGTCTTGAAACTCTTCACTTTGTTCTCTCCTTCTTACCTTTGACATCAGTCTCATTTTTTGGATCTGGAGTTTGGAGATTTCCTGGAAACTGTGTGGTCGTCAAAGTGTCATCAGAGATCGGTTCTGAAAAAGCAACAGTTGTTCATTATAATGAATTATCATTAAACATATGTACAAACCATGCTGGATAACACATTTGCTACACGGTGTGTGCAAGGGCTTGAAGAATGTGGACAAGTTTGCATCTTTTAGTCGACCAAAAACACGAATGACGTAATCAACATAGACTCCAGGATACTCTGCAACTTCTACAGGTGCACCATAGAGAGCATCCTGACTGGCTGCATCACGGCCTGGTACGGCAGCTGCACCGTAAGGCTTTACAGAGGGTGGTGAAAACAAAACATCACCAGGACGGAGCTGCCATCCATGGAGGAGCTGCACTCCCAGCGGCTCAGGAAGAAAGCTCTCAGGATTACAAAAGACCCCCATCACCCCAGCCACAAACTGTTCTGTCTGCTGCCGTCTGGCAGGCGGTACCGCAGCATTCGGACAAGAACCACCAGACTCAGGGACAGTTTCATCCCACAGGACATAAGACTGTTAAACCAACACATCCTCACTCCCAGGTCGGCCTATGTGACGTTATGTCAAGTGCCCTGTGTCGGCTTTTTCCAACGCAAAGGGGGGGCCCTTAGCGTACATTTTCAACTTTCCGGGATGTCCATAGGCTTCTATATAGCTCCCTAAACGTATGTTGTAGACGACTTGAGATCGCGAGTGAATGCTACCCGCAGATCCATTCTCACAGCGTGTATCAACCTTTTTCTAACTCAATATCAAGCCACACTTATTGTTTTTTATTTCAACTTTTGTTGCCGTCAGTTATGGGGAGAGTAGGGGCTCAGAATACTGAAATCTGTATTAATGGACATGCCATTGTGCGATTAAGTGATCTATGGACCTCTGGACATCCCGGAAAGTTGAAAATGTACGCTAAGGGCCCGCCCCTCTTGTGTTGGAAAAAGCCGACACAGGGGACTTGACATAACGTCAACATAGGCCGACCTGGGAGTGAGGATGTGTTGGTTAAACACCTGAACTGCTGAAACTATTTCATAACATCCTACTTAGTCATTATTTATCTATTATCTAATATATCATTCCAATAACTTGCATATAGATTCTTATTTCACTATTTCACTTTTTTAAACAATTTTTCTTTTGGTATTTACTATTTACTTGCACTATATTTTGTGTTGCTCTGTTGGAGAAGCCTGTGACACAAGATTTTCATCGGCATAACTACACTGTAGCTATGTTCGAACGACTAAATAAAGAACCTTGAACCTTGTAATAGATGTTATATCAACTCCTAAAAATCGGAAACGTTATTTCGGTCGATTATTCCTCCTCTTTAATAATACCAATTGCTATAGTATTTTATATCGTTGGAAAGCCTGATTAGTCACCTTTACAACGAGGGTACAACTTGTAAGGATCGTGCATTCGTGGAATGAGCAACACAGCTAACCGTGCGGGTAGCGGCCCAAACATTTTTGCCAAAATCCCCTGCAATATTCTTCTGTTGGTATTCAGACTCATCAAATTATTGTGTCCGTCCAAAAAAAAAAAAAGTTTACTTATAGTGAAAACCACCGTTGAATGATGGGATCGGAGACTAAAAGCTTTAGGAATCCAAACTATAACATATAATAAGTACCCTGTATCAAGATTGATACAAAAGAAGTGACATTTGACCTTTTTAGAGAGATTTAGCAAAAAGAAACATTTCTGGGGTCATTTGGGTGGATTTTCCATATCTCTGGCTCCCTCAGTATATTTTGATGATTGGCATATCTTTTTAACCGCAAGAGCCACTAGAATCGAGGGGGAAGTTCCTAAAATCCATCTAAACATTACCCATTGGTGTGTGAGTGCTGCGCAGCCAGAATGCCCAAAACCGGAAGCTGTCATACACTCTGGTAGCTATTATAGCAGCTATATATGAAAACTCAGTTTTTTCCATAAATATGAAGATGGATGATCAGTAATAATTTCAAAGTGACAGACACATTGGATTAACCTGTGGATTAACCTTCAGCAGCGTTTTTATCGTTTTAATGCCATTGCAGACCAGTTTAGACCAGAGCAACAGCTAAGGTAAGACTATTTTCTGTTTTTTGCTACCGAAAGCTACGTTGTGTGATGTCTGGGTTTGCTTCCCATGCCGCTCAGTGATGATACTTATACCTCTAGAATCTGTGGAATCTCAGCTTGCTAGCTGATGTCTTGTTTGTGCAGATCCGATAAGTAATAAAGTATTTACACCTTGAGTTCTGTGCTAAGTTCGTTAGCATTTTCCGCTCCGGGCTCATTTAGACACTTCTTCTGAGACTTGTGTTTTGTTTCGGTAAAACTGGATCATATCATCAGTTAGCTGAGTTTCTTCCCGTTAAGTGAGTATGACATATTCATAGTTTATTACATTTTAAGAAGCCCTGAGACACAGGGGGCTTCCGGGTTTAACAGGTTAAAGAGCTGAAAAAAACAAAAAAGTGAGTATATAGAGCAGGGGTGGCCAACCAGTCAGAGGTTAAGAGCCACATTTGTTCTATGTTACTGCAAAGAGCCACATCAAACACACAGTCACTGATACCGCTTGTTTCAGTTTTTTGTTTTCTGGAGACAAGATTTCAACCACGTCACTGATGCATTTTTGTGGCATTGGGATATATATTTTTAAATCCTCTGGAGCAGAGAGAGGAGCTGTGGATTATTGTTATTGATTAATGCATCAGTGTTTCTTAGGGTCAAAAACACTAAACTCACAACTTAAGATGAAAGCGTTTAGTTTATTTAATAAAAGAGCACATGTTCAATGTGAAAAGTGACAGTAGTTATAGATTATTTGCAATTTGGTGCTATATATTTATATTTAAAAAAAATTATATATATTTTTTAAACACCTTGAATTTCAGGGGGGGGCGCGGGGCTCTGTTGGCGGGGCGCAGCACCCCTCCAAGACAATGGTAGGGGAAACACTGGATAGTGTTTAGTCAACGATAGGTTTCCCCCCCCCCCCCCCTCAAATTGGTTCACTGCATCGCAGGTATTATTGTGATTGGCTCTTGGGCCACATCAAAATTAGACGCGCTGTCATTCATCCTCTCATACAAGCCACACACAAGTAGGGAGAGCCGGGACAAAAGTAACACGGGTCGAAAGTAACGGAGCGATTTTATCCGAGTCCAAACTACTTTGACCGGCCAAATTACGTCAGAATGATCAGCATTCAATACTTAACAGACCTACTAAATATCAGGTTAACTGTCAGGAGTAGCTAGTGTTGTCACGATACCAACATTTTGGTTTCGATACCAAGTCAAGAATTGCGATTCCGATTCTTTTTCGATACTTTTCTTAAAAAAAGGGAAACAGTATTAAATGTAATTATTGTGCTTTAGTTCACACCAGAACCATAACACAAACTTTTAAACAATGAGAACAATAAATAAAATAAATGACAAGAATTCGTATTAAATAAAATTAATACATTTCTTACAGACAGGCCTCGTGGTGTCCGTAGGCTTGCCCTCACTGTCAGAGATATAGCTCAAAATTTAAATACTTCCAAATTTCGCTTCCGGCGTCTTTTTTGTCAACAAGCCGAGCACAGCGGCAGTTGCACTCCCACTTGCAGCCATGCTTCTCGTTTTCTCACATGCTCTGGCAGCTAGCGCGTGCACGAGAGAGGGGAGGGACTTAGAGCGTGCTTGAGAGGGGAGGGACTTAGAGCGTGTTTGAGAGGGGAGGGACTGCAGGCACGGCTGCAGTGCAGGGAGTGCAAGCAGAGCGCTGAACACACACGGCTCTTATTAAAACGGCGCTTTCTCACCGGAGTACTTTCCCCCGTCATTCTTAAAGTACCGATACTAATGAAACGGAGGAATCGTAACGTTTTTAACGGCAGGGTATCGCGGTACCCTTCAAGTATCGGTACACCGTTGCAACACTAGTCAGGAGTCAGTGTCTCTCCCCCAAACTCACACATATACAATTCGATATGAACTGAAGAGCCGCATGAAACTAGGCAAAGAGCCGCATGCGGCTCGAGAGCCGCGGGTTGGCCACTCCTGATATAGAGAGTCGGACTCTTTGAAAAAGAAAAAAGTGCAAACGTACCAAAGACTTCCAGCTTTATGGTGGTATCTAACGGCAGGTGTGGGATGATACATCTGTATCTCCCGTCATCAGAGAGCTTCAGGTTTCTGATCCGGAGGGAAACGTTCCCGAGTTTCAGGCCGTCTGCGAAACATCTCCGTCCTCCAGCGTACGACGGCATCGTCTGGGCCTCCTGATGCTGCTTTTCAGGGTACAGGTGAACGTACCTGTAGGAGCCAAAATGCTGAGTTAGCCCCTGTTTATATGTTTATTTATTATTTATAAAACCACACACACATTGGTAATTTATCGTTACCAATAGTTGTGGGTGTGGTTTATGGTATTAAGGCACCTGGTGTATGTGGAGGTTAGTAGTGTGACAATTAGCTCTGAGATCTTTGGTTGACTGGATGATTGTTTGTTTATTGTTTGTTTATTTAAATATCCTGAAACTTTAAAGCTCTCCTATCATGCAGAATGCACTTTATGATGTCTTTTATACATACATATGTGTCCCGGTGTGTAAGGAGACTCACAAAGTGTCAGAAAACAAAACCCTCTCTCTTTTCCTTCTTTTCTTTTACATGTTTGTAGTAGGGCCGGGACTTTAACGCGTTAATTAAGATTAATTAATTACACAAAAATTAACGCATTTTAATCGCACTTATTTTTGCACCGCGGAACGTTTCTCACTGGATGAGTTTCAGGCGTACCGATTATACTGGAGCACCAACTAACGTTCATGACTTCAGACAACAACAAACCACAGTGAACAACAGTGGGAAATGTTGTTTTAAAAAACGGACGGATGGAAGCGTCGATAAGAGCACGGTTGTGTGCAAATTATGCAAAAAGGAATTCGCATATCACCGCAGCACATCAAGCCTCAAGTATCACCTCAATGCAAAACATATAGCAGCTAGCGTGGACGTTAGCCTCTTTTATCGCGTTCGCACCAAAAAGAGCCGGTACTAAAATTAGTTCATGAGAACCTTTTTACCCCGACGAAAGTCCCTGCTAGAGAGCAGAGAGCTGCTAGAGAGCAGGGACTTTCGTACGGCTCTCTTGTGAGAAAAGAGCTATATTTCTGATTGGCTGGGCGGATTGCAAACCACGCCCCGTAAAACTCCCAAAAAGTTTTGTGAAGCCGCCATTTTATTATCCTCGCATTAGCATTATTAGCATTAGCCCAGCGCAGAAACGCAGAGAGACTAACTTATGGCAACACAAAATAAAACATGGGAGCGGTGGAGATGAGGAGGTGTCGGCGTTCTGGCGATTTACTCGGAAGGCTTCAGTAGAAGCTGCTGGGACTCCCAGCAGCTTCTACTGAAGCCTTCCCCAACTCCGGGGACTTCCGGCCGGGGACTTTGGGCGGCAGTATACGCCGTGAAGTGGTTTGCGGCCTGCCAGTAAACCCAAAGCAGAAGAAGAAGAAGTGACGTCAGCGGCTTCATTTGCCTAATCCACCCCCAGGTTCAAAGAGTTCTCATGAACTAAGTTCTCATGAACCTTTGTGGGAAAAGTACTGCGGTGGGAATGCGCCTAATGGTATACTAAAATCCATGTGAAAAAAATTGCTTCTCACTGTTCTCAGATCAAATATTTATATGTGATTAAAAATGCGATTAATTTCGATTAATTAATTACAAAGCCTCTAATTAATTAGATTAATTTTTTTAATCGAGTCCCGGCCCTAGTTTGTATTAAAAAAATCCTGACAGCTTCCTCCACCAGGCGGTCAGGATGCTGAACTCTCTCTCCTCCCTCCCTCTCTGACATCTCTCCCCTGAACTCTCCACCCTGCCTCCCACCTTTCCCCCCTGCCCCAAATGGTCCTGGACACACACACACACACACACACACACACACACACACACACACACACACACACACACACACACACACACACACACACATCCACCACACACACACACACACACACACACACACACACACACACACACACACACACACACACACACACACACACACACACACACACACACACACACACACACACACACACACACACACACACACACACACACACACACAACCTTCCCTCCTCCAGCACCAGTCACCTTTCTGCCCTGCTACTGCACTGAAACTGTACTTTGAACATTTTAAACATATTATTAACATTTTAAACTGTATACCCCGGTTATCTAGGCCCGTTTTATGTATATATGTCACACTGTGGGACTGTGGAAAACGGTATCTCGAGATTTCTGGATGTATAACACATGTAGTAATTTTGAAAATAAAGCTGACTTTGAGTAAGTCAGCTTACTCTGACTTTAGTAACAGGGCTGAAATAGAGGGGGATGAGGCTAGAATGGGTGATCTGTTTGGTATTTTGAGCAAAACACTTTGTAGACATGTTTTGTATTTATCTGAGACCTATAATATATGCTTACAAATAGTATAATAGGAGACCTTTAACTTTAGTACGGACTTTTAGTATTTATACACGTCATGAGGAAGCGTAATTGAATGGTAATCTAGCCGCCACAGTACCAGTTTGGGTCCACAAGGATTTCGGGCCTCCACCACATCACCGTCAAATCCTCCATATTGATCTGAGGCTGCACAACACACGGCAGGATGACATCACCACCCAGAGGAGCCCTGATTGGCTCAGAGGAACCTGAGTTTTCAGGCTGAGGTCGACCTGTGAAAATATAGGGAGAAATATAAAGGTCCCTTGACATGCTTTTCTGGTTGTTACCCGTCCCCTTGTGTGTTATGAAGGTTTTTCTGCATGTAAACAGTCTGCAGAGTCAAAACCCTCAAAGTACACCCTGTAGCGAGTAAAACTCTAACACAGAGAAGACCTGTCTGTGCTGTCCCAGAACGCCTCGTTGGACATTTCTCTTTTCCATTGTTTGCTTCCTGGGTTCTGTGACGTGTGAACACCCAGATCAACAACAAATGACCAAATGCAGGGGCCGTCCCTGGCCAACATGAGGCCCCATGCAAAGATATATGATGAAGCCCTCTGTTTCGAAATATATAATTTCTTTTTTTCTGAAAATTATATCTGATTAAAGTCAGAATTCAATTTTCTTTTTCGGTCACATCCCCCCAAAAATGTCTTACATGGCCCCAATCCTCGTCAGTATGAACATCATAAAGAAAGAAATATAAAGGAAATTGTGAAAATAAAACAAAAAGTCATATTTCCAATATAATGTTTATCAAATACAAATGTGGTTGCCTTTTCATTTACATATAAATAACTTCATACTTATACCGACATATATATGTAGATACTATAAAGTAATTATAATGAAGTGTTTCCTGTTGAGGAATGTGGGACAGGCTGATCGGTGTGTGTGCATATTTTGGTGTGTGATGTGCGCACAGACAAGGAGTGACAGGGAGATTCCTCCAGGTGAGGCCTACAAGGTTTCTGCTAACCTTTCTAACAAAGACGATGTTATAAGGACATCAAATGAAAAAAGTGGCCGATATGACATCCATTTTTAAGAAGTAATGAAAAATCTGCACAATAATAATTCCTTTTATATTCTCTGAAAGTGTGATCTGATTATTCCCAGTCCCACTAAACTATGAGGAAGTAGGAATCAGGTGTACATTTCTGTCGACTAAACTACATATAAAGTAATTTGTCAAACCTATTTCCACTACAATAAACGTAGCCTACTAAAGCCGTTAATAGCATTTTCCCAATGAGAAAAAGATGAAATAACTTCAGAGTTTCACAAACATTGGTTACCTTGAATCTGCTCCGTTGCGACGACCACCGGGAGAACAAGAGCCCAGATCAGGAGAGGAAGAATCCAGCTAGACACGAAGAAGACCATAAGGAGCGAAAGATTTGCAAATATTGTTGTAAAGAAACAGCGCGACTGAGCACCAACACGTAAATCAGAAGCAACTGGCGCATGCGCAGTCGTAGGGCAACACCTGTACCTGGAGTCCCGTGAACTTTTTAACATTTTAAAAACGGGAGTGCATCAAACATAATCATCATGAACATTGTGAATTTGTTAAGAAAACAGAAATACCTGACACCGTCCATCCTGCAGTTTGTCATCACCAGTAAGAGATGTAACTTCGCTCTTTAAAGTGTTTTATTTTGAAGGAGCGACGGTGCTTTGACACTGGTTTTCCAACGAGAACATACGTTGGATAAATAAAGCAACAAAGATGCAACTCATTAGATTCAAGAGAGTTTATTATAATGTAGTTTATAATGAATCCGTAATGGAGAAGTGCGCAGTCAAACAACCCCTCAGGTGAGGAGGAGTCAGGTTTCAGTAGAGTTCTCTTTTGTCTTGTTTCATTTCTAAATACATGACCGGTAACGAGGAAGATCTAAAGCAGATAATGATGGATACATACACGAAGTAAAGATTAAATAATACCCTCTTCAATACAAAGGGTAAGTAATGCCAGCCTTACAACTTTTCAACAAAATGTCCAATATTGGAATAAAGTGAATCTTGTCTCGTTTTCACTTTCCCACAATAAAGTACTCTAAATGAAACACTTCTTATTTGTCTAGGCTCAGGTGAAAAGTTCATTTTAATCAAGTTAAAATAATCAATACTACAAATATATTCAATATCTGTATATAAGAGGAAAGTTAGCTTTTTTCCATTTAGATCAATACAAAGAGACAGGTTTATGTATCGTGATTATAAAAAGGTGGAATCACATTGAACTGGTTATCTGCAAAGTGACTTCCTGCCTCTCTCCTACTGATCACGTTACACTTGTTATCAGCATTTCCTCCAGCAGGGAGCAGCAACAGACCATTAAAACCTCTACAGCAGTGTTTCTCAAACTTTTTCATACCAAGGACCACTTAACCAATAAATAAACACTCGCGGACCACCTAACTCCACAAATATCCAAAAACACATCGTTTTTTACAAATCGCCTGAAAATTGTACAAACAAGTGGCAACATGTGTGATGAAGGTGCTTATCTGGGCTATATCATGCAATCAAAGTGAAACGTAAGCTCGTTCCATTGCGGAGATATTCCCGCGAGAGTGCGAAAAACTTAAATCAATTAATTTATTTCAAATGTGAAATTTTACCAATATACTCACGGACCACTAGGGGGCGCTCATGGACCACCAGTGGTCCGTGGACCACACTTTGAGAAGCACTGCA